GTTTAAACCGCCTTTGGTGGTCAGAAAACTAGCATCTCTTTGGTGATGTGTGAAGAGAAGGTTGGAACGGGGTGTGATGCACTTCCTCCCTTCCGGGAGATGGATGAAACCCAAGGCACCAAAACACGAAAATAACAAACAAAGGCGGAAAACAAAGGAATACCCTGGGTGGCGCTCTTTTACACATTTTATGTCTTTTCATGTCTCTCACAGATACCCACACTCGCTAGGTAGGATAAGGGGAAGGATTCAATGGAGGAAGGGGGTTTGGTTAGTCCGGGATAATGTATAATTCATGATAATCATGAAATAACCTGTCGTTAATCAACAATAGCACAATGAAACCAATACCCAGTTGATCCGCCATATGTTGATTACTATATAGTTTATGCATAGTATCGACATGTTGATACAACGTTCGAGTTTGGGTGACGGGCGGCTACCAACAACACGCCGCGGCGGTGATAACGCCGAATAACATTCCAAGTCTAAATAGGAACCAACATAGAGCTAAAAATTACCAAAAGCTCACCGACCACCCCCCGTCGGGGATGCCCAGCTACGAAACCCCCTAGGGGGTTTGCCCTTTCCTGGCTGGGGCCCGGCGTCCCGGGGGCCAGCTCAGAAAAGTCCTTCCCCGAGCAGGATCGAACTCATGACCTCCCGTCGGAGCTGTGTTTGACTCTCTACCCGGAGGTGAGGACCACTGCCGGTTTACCACTTGGCCAACCGTCGAGTGGGCGGTGGTCCTCGGTGGAAATGGCATCGCTGGATCTAACACATATAGCACGTTCAAGGAAGTGCTCTTCCTCAGTACATCCCCTCATTGCGATGACTCCTACTCGGCTCTAGTAGACAGTCTAAATATACCGACCTCATACGAAAATCACCGCTAAAATTTGGGGGTATGTCGTCGCATAAAAACCATCGTCAAAACCACGTCAGTCACACCGGGCCAACTGCTTTGTTCCTGACCTCAGTTAAGCACCCGGATATCATCTACATTCTTCGCACCGACACCCCACTTCATCACCACCCCTATCGCATATCACCGTCACCCAGCAAGCCACGCGACACAAGACAACGCAATCCGTTATCCCCAGTCATCCCCTATCCACGCTATGCACCATGTTTCTACACACACCCGCAGCCCGGTCCCCAACCTCCAGCACTCTCCCTCCCAATTTCAAATTCAAAAGACCAAAACCAACTCATTCCTCCCGCCCATCCTGCTCATCATCCACCAAGATCACCACCGTAACCGTCGCGGCATACGCCTCGCGGATCGCACACGCCATGCTACACACCCACCACCATGTTAGCACACACACCCCCAAAAACCAAACCCATCCACAAACAAGAAGAATCAGGAAAAGAAGAGGGCAATAGAAAATAAACGTACCAAGTCCTCCCCAAATCCGCCACTACCGCGCTCAGCCCCCAATGCGCACACCACGCCCGCGCCAACACCTCATTATCCGGCACGCCAAACGCCTCCACCACCAACACGCGCTCCTCATCCCCCCCGCTCAACGTACTCGGACTGGACACCCCCGTAGGCCTGTCCCTCCCCGCCGTCGGCGGCGGAGACGTCGAGTTCGAAAGCGAATGCGAATGCCCATGCCCACCACCACCGCCGCCGCCGCCGCTGTTGTTGTTGTTGGTTCCGTACAAACCATTCCAGTCGCGGACTTTGACCAGCTGGTCGGCCTTGACGGGGGTGTAGACGTAGTCGAAGAAGAGGGGGTGGGGCCCGTCGGAGCAGGGCCAGGCCGAGACGAAGGAGACGTCGAAGGTGAGGCGGAGGGGCCACGAGACGCCGTCGATGGCGAATTGGATGGAGGCGTCGTAGTATTTGGGGGCGGAGGAAGCGGTGCTAGGTGGTGGGGGGCCTGGGCCTGGGGAGGAGGGGTTCGTGGCGGCGGAGGAGGAGGGGCGCGTGTCGTTGCCGTTGCCGCCGCCGCATGGGCGGAGGTTGAGGAGTTCGATGCGGACGAGGTCCGTTAGGTAGGCGTCGTCGTCGCGGTCGGGGGCGACGAGGGCGTATTCTTTGACGGGGAAGACTTGGGCTGGGGGCCCGAGCGGGTCGGAGCGTTCTGACATGGAGCGGATGTCTTCTGGGGTGACGCGGTTGGTGTTCGGGCGGCGGGCGCGGATTCGCGCGATCTGGTTGCGGCCGAGGTCGGCGGTTGGGCGGGCCGGGCCGACCCATCCTGCTAGAGAACGGCAGGTGGGCGCGAGGACCTTGCCTACGATGGAGGTGGCCGTCCAGTAGGTGTAGCTGTTGCGGTACTGGAAGCCGCAGCTGGGGTGGGCGTGGGTCAGGAGCGTCAGGTCATCGGTGGCCTTGCCGGGGTCGATGTCGATCAGGGCGTTCATGATCAGGAAGGGGAAGGTTGGGCCGGGTAGGACGAGCCCGCTGAAGAAAGCCATGGCGTGCGAGCTGATGAGGTCGAGGGTCGTTTCCTCGTCGCGGCGCTTGAGGGTGTCGAGCGTATCAGTGAGGTTGGGCCACTTCATCATCTGCGCGAAGCGTTTGAGCATCTTCACCTGGCGCCGCTTGAGCTTGTAGCGGAGTCGTATGTGTTCGGGTGCGGTGCCGTAGTCGTCGACGCGGATGTTGTCGTGCCACCTGCGAGCTAGTGCGAGATTCCACTGTATTGTTGGGGGTATTTGGGCCAGTAGCTTTTCCTTCGCGTCTGTCATGTGGTGTCTGGATTGGATTCGGAGTTCCAGCTCGAGGCTGAGAAGCAGCTGGTGGCAAAATTTTTGGTATGTCTGACTGTTTGTCGCGCCGGTGTCAAATATAAACTTTGTGACAACCTGATTCTTCGGGCTGGTGAGATCGAGCCAGCCTGACCCCGAAAGAACCATGATCAAGTCCGTGATCTGCTTGTCGAGCGTCTTGTGCGGGCTCGCATACTTATCCGGGTCTTTGAGTAGCCGCTTGTAGAGGTTCCTGTACATTAGATCCTCGTCGTCATCCTCCAACCCCCGGTCAAGCTCCCTGAGTCGTCCAAAGATGGTCTCGAGGTCGATCTCGCGGGGCTCTACCCCCGAGTCTCGCAAAGTAATGGGCGGTGGTGTGACGCTCGCGAGACTCACCCAGTGATTGAGTGTTATGGTGCCCGGGCGCTTACCGTGGCAAAATGAATAGCTGGGCTGCTCTAGTGTCTCCCAGGGGTAGGTGGCCGGCTCGGACTCGGCGAGGCGTAGTGTCATGAGCTGCGTCATGGAGTCGTGTTGGTTCGCGGCATCCGTCTCGTCGCCGCGATTCCCGGCTACGGTCGCGAATAGGGCGTAGTAGTGATCCGAGGCATGGGGAATGGGCCGCTTATGGCCTTTGAAAGCTGGGACACCTCTGGAGATGAGCTGCATTGCGGGGCCCAAATTCAACTCCTCACTACTCGACATGCCCGACGGGGGCCACTCGGTTAGGGGGCCCAAGTCGTATGAGGCGCTGTGAGGGTCTTCACGGCCTTTGCCCTTGGTAATGCTCGGATCGGTTCGCCGTGGTCTACGGCGGCGGGCTGGGGGCTCTTCTGCCCCCTCTGACTTCTCTGGCCTTTCCGGCCTCCTGCTACGGCTTCCGAACACATCGGTATCGCTTATCGTTCTAAGGGAATCTTTTTCCTGAAGAAATGGTCAGTATCTTTTATGATGTCAACATCCCTCGGGAAAAAGGCTGTCCTGGCTTCCAACATACTCCCTTCTTGCTCGCGGAGCTCTTCGACCTAAACAGATCCCAGAATCGCTTCTTCTTCAGTTCCTCCATCTTCCGAGTAGACACACGGCCACCTGACGGTTTAAATTTCGCTTCTCTCTATGTCGAGTGGTTTAGCAGCAGGGCGCGCCCAACAGCTGCGTATCCCTAGATTTTGGGTTTGGTGTGTGGAGCGGTCTGCGAGGCTGAGTTGCACAGACACGCGTGTCATGATATGCGGCTGCGCATGTGCCGTGCCCAGGTCTTAACTAGGATGCATGAGACAGGCGTAGCATCGGGCACCTCCCTCAGTCGTCAGACCCGTTGTGTCGGGACCACCTAGTTCGGGACTTGGCCGGCAATACAATGGACAATGAGCGGCGGTGTCTGGCGAGCTAAGAGAACTGAAAGTGAGATGGCGGTCGAGATAGTTAACCAAGGTAACGAGTCGATCGGTTGTTTGTCGGATGGATTAATTTTCCGGAGGGCGATTGAACGGAAAGATGATTTCTTCAAAAAGGCACGGCTTGGACGATGAAACAATTTCTACACTAAGATGAACTCGTGGATGGCATGCATGTGCAGTAGCCCGCCTGATCCGCCTCGTCGTCGCAGTAAAGCGCTTTTTGAATGCCAGTGTCGTCCTTGTGCTGCGTAATTGCAAGCTGCAACGCATGCCAGGGGGCATCTGCCCGCTCCTTCCAGGCCCAATCACTTGCTCTCAGCTCAGCTCGGACAATGCGCTTCTCCTCCGTCTTGCATGTCCAAGTCAGACAATCCCGCTACTCAAGTTGCCAGGTCATCTAGCGGGGAGGGGACCGTTGCAGTCCCGCTTGGCCCAACGTGGAGCTGTTGCTGCTGCTGTTGCTAGGTGCTGCCCGGCGCCTTGGTCATTGGAACCTTTGCCCCGCATCCACTCGCAGTGGTTCGGTTTCAGAATGATACCACGCCGAGGTGAAGGGTCGAAACTATTGATGAAAGAGAGGTGGGGTTTGTTATCGAACCATAGAGAAGGCCTCGATACTTTAGCAATATTTTTGACTGCTATGTTGCCCCGATATTCGGCTGAGTGACGTCCACTATGGAGGTAGTGTAGAGGTGGTGTTGTTAGTGGGCGGTTTCATCGCCCAGAAGGCACTGGAGGTGGGGCGGTCGCTAAAAAAATACACTCACCGCCCCCGGCGCATGGGGCAGAATCCAGAAATTTTCTGGGCTGGAGCGACTTGGGAGCTGTCCCGAGTCCCCAAGCCGCTGGACAGAGTCCGACCTCCAATCCACCTCATACTCGGAACCAGACACAATGGCCCCCGAATTACGCAAGAGAAAGTCGAAGCGTAAGTACTCCATCATACTGCCAGCTTTCATGTTTGAAATGCTGATCAATTGATTCTAGCGGTCGTGGCGGAGCCCGAGCCTGTCGCAAAAAAGAGCAAGGCAACGAAAAGCCCCAAGGCTGAGAAGCGGAAAGGTCAGGGGCGCTACTGCTGCTGAAAGTGCCACAGTTTGTTAACGCGTCCTCGTTCTAGCTCCCGAAGATGCTTCGCCCGTTGCCGTGAAGAAGCAGAAGCCGACCAAGGATGTCGCCAGCAAGAAAGTCGCTACCCCTGCGGAGAAGGCGGCACCGAAGAAGTCGGCGCTGAAGAAGGAGAGGCAATCCCCGAAGGCCAAGGCTGCGGCAGAGAAGTCGAAGAAAGGAGAAGAGTCAGAGGAGGTGCAGGACGGCGATGTGCTGTCCGAAGCAGAGGAGGAGGAGGTTGACGACGACACCAAGGCTCTTGTCCAGGCTCTGGACAGCGGCGACGAGGACGAGGCGGGGGCGCAGGTCAGCACATTCAAAAAGGGTCAGGATGTCGGCAAAGTCCCCAAGGCGAAGAAGTCGACAAAAGCTCCCACCAGCAGTAGCAGCGGCACACCGGGTGTTATGTACCTCGCGAGAATCCCTCACGGTTTCTACGAGCACGAGCTGCGGTCTTACTTTGGCCAATTCGGCGATATTACAAGGCTCAGGGTTGTGCGGAACAAGAAGACGGGCGCCAGTCGCCACCGGGCCTTCGTCGAGTTCGCCGACGCCGAGGTGGCCGACATTGCCGCCCGCACCATGGACAAATACCTTTTGTTCGGGCACATTCTCTCGGCGAAAACCGTGCCGCCCGCGCAAGTGCACCCAGACCTGTTCAAGGGCGCGAATCGCCGCTTCAAGGTGGTCCCATGGAACAAGATGGCCGGCAAGCAGCTCGAGCGGCCGCTGTCCGAGTCCCAATGGCAAGTCAAAATTTCCAAGGAGGAGCAGAGGCGGGCTGCTAGGGCCGACAAGTTGAAGGAGATGGGTTATGAGTTCGAGGCTCCGGCACTCAAGGCTGCCGAGGCCAAGCCATTGCTGGAGAACGGCACCGAGGAGGAACCCAAAGCCATCGAAGCGCCTCCTGCCACCGAGACAGCCGAGCCCAAGGAGGAAGAGGAGGTTGTCGAGGCGGAAGTGGTCAAGGCCAAGACCACAAAATCCTCGGAAGATGCCACCCCGCAAAAGAAAAAGGGCAAGAAGGCCAAGAAGACGAAGTCATGAGCAAGTAGTCACAGTATTGCAGTTTGTCACTGATACCCGCGGCTGGGGTCAATCAAGAGCCGCTTCCGGACCGAGCAATCGCTCTCTTAGTTTCAAGTGTTGGAATGTGTGCACCAAGCGAACCTGATATACTCTTGGGAGGAGCTGGTGCTCCGAGAGATATCAAGATTATAAAGCGCAGACAGCTGCTCTACTTCTGCCCTGGTATGAAAAAGCCAGCATTTTGCGATGTGCAACGGCAGATTCCATGTGAAAGTCAGGCGAAGAGAAAATATGTGAAGAAGAAAAAAGAGAAAATCCAACTCTGATTTCCTCTATTTGCTGGATTAAAATGCTTGGCTTGATGCTTCGTTGGTCCGTGACCCTGTCGGGTTTCGTTACGTAACACAGTGTTGTTCAGGCGGCTAGCATGGTGTGCCGAGCACGTTGGTGGCTTGAGGATTGAGTTTCGAAACAAGACAGTTGGGGGCTGAGTGGAATGCTTTTCGCATGGGAAGATCCCGCCAGCCGCCTTCGATGTGGAATTGATTGATGACGAGCTGTAGTTAACAACATGATTCTTCTTTATAATACCTTGGAATGTAGATGACGCAAACCATTAATACCTTAACGATACCTAGGTCGTTCACCTTTACAAGTTCCAAGGACCCTTCGTCCCAACTGCCCACCTTAGGTACTGTAACTATTCGTACCTGTACCTTACACCCACCGATCCATCGGAGTCCGTGTGCGGGATTCAGGGACCTGCAGCAGCTTAGCAGGGCCCGTTTTGCGCATTCCCATTGCGATTAACCAACTGTTGAAGGAAACTCGGGACAAGAACCGATAGCTTACGCCGAGAATACGAGAGACAGTAACCTGGCTGCGGCGGGTCGGCGCGGGAGAGTCCGCCCATCCATCCCATCCATCAGTTTGTCGTTACGTTTTTGTACGCCCATTTGCCCACGAGCAACGAACACCATCGAGACAAGAAACACAGGGACACACACCACGCATTGTCCCTCGATGCATCTGTGTCCACCCCAACCACGACACCAGCAATACCACCGCCAATTGCATCTAGACCATGTCGTCTTCGGCCGCGCCAACGAACGCCGTCCAATCAGCAGCCCAAGGTACGTCCCAAAGTGGGCTTGAGGGGCATGTCATGCACTGGCAAGCCGGGTGCAGAGACCAGGCCAGGCCACATCACCACCCTTGGCCTTTCTCGCTATATGCATTTGCGCTAATGGAGAAATAATGCTTCACGGTAACGAACAGGCCCCGCTGTCCCCTCCAATAATAAGAAGAGGGCAAATAGAAAGAAGAAGGGAAACAAGAGCAATACTGCCGTCGGCAACACGACGACCACTGCCTCGAACACGCAGAACCCCCCTGCACCCGAGCCAAAGGCAGCTGGACAGGAGGATGGCGTTGAGAGCGAACCGGTCGACGAAGTGTCAGAAGAGCTAGAGACCCTCGGTTTGGTACGAATGCCCACAACCCATGTCAATTTGCCTACGCTCTGTTCCTCTTGTTTTTCATTTTCCCGTATCGGTTTGTGTGTGTTCCTATTCCCCCGTCTGACCACAGTCACCTGTGTAGGATACTCGCAACCCGCCGCCAGAGCCGCACGCTGCGGTAGACCGGTCGGGGACAGAACCGAGCGGTCCAGAAGAAGAAGGAGACGCGGGAACGACGACTGAACCGGCAGTGGAGACCGAAGACGATTCGAGACCTGCGGCTAACGGCCATGCTCGCGCAAACGGGCATCCACAAACCGGGTCAATATCAGGGGTGAAAAACGCCGAGTTAGAAGCCATGCCAGAAGACCACGAGGCCTTGCGGCTCGAGGTCGAGCAGCTGCGAAATCAACTTGAAACCACACAAGAATCGCATTCTCAGGAAACCGCGCAATTACGAGCCGACTTGGAAGATGCCGAGTCCGCAAAGGAATATGCCGAGACCCAGTACCATACACTCTTAAATCGTGTCGAGAAGATCAAGGAGACGCTGGGCGACCGCCTAAAGCGTGACAAGGCCGAGCTAGAGGACACCAAGGACCGTGTCGACGAGCTCGAGAGGCAAAACGATGAGCTACAAAGGACATTGGCCGAGCGCGAGGAGGAAGCAGCCCGCCTGAGGGATGAGGTACAGGAGCAAGGGCGCGAGCTGGTCGGCTTGCGCAGCAGGAGCAACCTGTCGCAGCAGAATTGGCTAAAGGAGAAGGACGACATAACACGGCAGATGCAGAACCTCAAGGGCGAGCTCGAGTCCACAACGGCTGCCATGGGCGAGTGGGAAGTCATTGCCATGGAGGAGCGCTCCTTACGCGAGAGCCTGTCGGATAAGGTATCCGACCTCGAGGAGCAGGTCGCCACCGCGCGCGAGGCGTACGAGCGAGCCGAGTCGGATCGCGATGCGCAGTCGCAGGCCGTCGGCCGTCTCCAGCGCGCACTCCAGGAACTCCAAGACACGCGGAAGAGGGAGTTGCGCGAGATGGTCGAGTCCACAGAAGAGCAGGTGCAAGCGCTGAAAAAGCTCACCCAGGAGGCCGAGTCACGAGCCACCGAGGCCGAATCGTCCAAGGAGACGCTAACCAAAGAACTCGAGCGGACGGCGCCGTTCGAGAAGGAGGTCAAGGAAAAGAACCTACTAATCGGCAAGCTGCGGCACGAGGCGATCGTGTTAAACGACCACCTCACCAAGGCGCTCAAATACATCAAAAAAGACCAAACCAGAAGAAACAATCGACAAGTAAGCCACGGCGATCTACCCCTTCCCCCGCCCTCCCTCGTCACTAACAAACCCCCCCCACCAGACAACTAGTAACCAACCACTTCCTCCAATTCCTCACTCTCGACCGCTCCGACCCCAAGAAATTCCAGATCCTCCAAGTCATGGCCAACCTCCTCAACTGGACCGACGACCAGCGCGAAAAAGCCGGCCTCGCCCGGCCCGGCGGCGCGTCCTCGGGGGGCAGCGGCAACACGCTGCGCCTACCCTCATCGCCCTTCCACCGCACGCCTAGTTCGCCCGCCCTCAGCACCGAGTTCCTTTCCGACGCCATGTCGTCGTCGGGCGGCGGTGGTGGTGGCGGTGGTGGCGGGCCGAGAGAATCGCTCGCTGATTTGTGGGCGAGCTTTCTCGAGCAGAGTGTTGATGAGGCGACGGGTGGTGGGGGCGGGGGGACGTCGTCGAGGAAGGATAGTGTTGCGAGCGTGAGTACTGCGGGGGGAGGGCGGCCTGATACGAGGGGCCATAGTTAAGGGGGGGTCGGAGTCGAGGTTGAGGAGGTGGTGTGCTAGAAATTATGCATTGCAGAAATTGCTGTGAGAGTGGTGTTAAAAAGCACGCTGCATCTATCGATATTATGTCTAGAGTAAGAGGTGTTGTGTTAGTTATAGCGGCGTTGCAAGCGGGGAAGCCGGCCTAGACAAATAGCACTGTGATTAGGTTTGGGGTAACTGGACGTGAACGGCTCAGAGACTTGAGCTCCGTTTTCTATTATGCGTTGCTTCTTGCTTTGGCTGTGAGATTTCTAGAAGTGTGTGGTGCCTACACGACTCCCAAGTCTATATTTTCGAGCTGTCACGCCAATGGGGTAGTCAAGATTTACACGGAGTAGAAAGCCGAAAAGAACTCCTATTGAAAATACCGAGGCCAAATCTACGACGGACTGCCTATCTATCAATACATCCAAATCAACCAACTACTTGCTCCTTGCCCGCCCCCGCCGGCATCAACACCGCCTTCGCATAAGCCTCAGCATCCCTCTCAATCCCCCTGATATCAATCCGATTCAGCAACGCATCATTCACCCCCTCCACCACCTCCCTCTCCTCCATCATCTCCCTCATCAACCGCACCTCATGCGCCCAATACGCCACACTCCTCCCCCGCAGCTCCTCATCCCTCAACACCGTATTCTTCACCACCCCCGACGCATTCACCACCCCCATGATCGTCCCCAGCCTGCGCGTCACCGCTTCCACCCTCTCCACCGCGGACGGCGGGTTGACAAACGCGCGCTGCGTCCCGGACAGGTACAGCACCAGCGCGAGCAGGCAGTCGACGATCGCGACGGCAGTGTACCGCACCACGCGCGCCGTCCAGAAGAAGGCGTCCAGCTCGCCCAGCCGCAGCGCCCGCGCGTTGGCCGTGTGGTTGTACGTCGCCACCCAGTACAGGTCGAGGAACGCGGCCGCGACGGCGGCGAGGGACGCGGGGGCGCGGAACCGTGCCGCGGAGGCGGAGTTGGCGCGGCCGGTGAGGAGAGAGGACGTGGCCAGCGCGATGATGATCAGGTTGAAGAGGTGCGGGGCGAGGAGGTCCGGGAGCGCGTAGTAGAGGTAGGAGCGCGGGTCGTCGGAGGTGCAGAAGGGGCAGGTGGCGACCACGGAGGGGCCGTGGTGGAGGTAGAGGAGGCGGGATTCGAGCGAGGCGAATTTGGCGCGCAGGGCGAGGTCGGTCGCGGTGAGGGTGTTGCTGGGTCGGAGGGCGGAGAGGCGGTTGAAGAGCACGTCGGCAGGTATTTGGAGGCGCGATTGGGTGATTTTGAAGATGTTTTCGGGGGAGAAGATGGGGAGCGTGCGGAGGAGGAAGACGGCGGCTACGGCGAAGAGGATGGCAATGGCGCGGGTCATGGGCGCCGGTAAAGGCCGGACTTTGAGGCCATGGATGCGCGGTGCGTCGCGCATGCGGCGGTAGTAGCCGATGGCTTTGGGGAGGAGGAGGGGGCCGAAGAAGATGACAAGGGACTTGATGCTGTCCAATGGATTAGATTTTGAACTGTTTGGTAGAGCCATGTATGTCACTTACGTTCCCCAGGGTATCGCCATTTTTTCGGTGTTGTTACTGCCTCGACGGCTGTCTTTGTTGAGGAGTGCAACGAAGCATCCATTTGTTCGAGATGCAAGGTGTTGGACGAGGCTGTATAAACAGGGGGACTGGAAAGTTAATATGGGGCCGTAGTGTGGGGACAATGAATTGGTTCACTCAGCCTTGTGTGGGTTGAAAATTATAAATTTTTTGCCAACCGCGACTCCCGATTTTTCATTCAAACACTTTTCAATTCTTCCAAGTCGAACATTGCAGAGCGTCGATACTGCCACCATTTGCACCATGACATGTTTTAGCAGCAAAACAATATACGACGTTACTGTTTCACCCTCCCTCCCATGCGCGTGACTGTTGACACCGCTGGCACTATCGAAGCTTTGGCGATCCTCCCATGGTCGCTCAAAGTCAATGTGTTGCCTAGATTGAGCCCAAGTACTCTGCCAAGAGTCATCTCACGTAGTGTTGCAGAATTCTAGCTCCGGCGATGAAGGATCATTGCGTCAAATGCTGAGAGACATCATTTCAAATCTATTATTATTATTGTGTGTCTGTGTTCATAGTTCCTTCTTGGTCTCCCCGTTTCTAGCTCCCGCCGCTGGGACAGGCTGCTTTTGCTTCTGCTTCCCCGACTGTCTGCTCGCCGAGATAAAAGCCAGTATGCCCACCACCGCGTTCATCACAAGCGTCAGGATGGCCGTGCACGCGGCCTGCCACGTCACGATGCTGACGCTCCCTAGCGGCGCGCGCGGAAATGATACGAACCACTCGACGTAGTAGGGGAACCACCCGTAGGGTAGCCAGAACATCGGCAGCTTGCCGTACCACATCGGGAGAAGCCACTGTACGCCGCGCGTCGAGATGAAGCGGACGGCCGTGATGTAGCGGTCGAACTTTGTGCGGGAAGCTTCGACTGCGGATTCTATAGGAATGCTTAGCGAGAGCTTGCTTTAAGGGGGTAGCAGGGTCCCTACTCTTCTTCTCCAGCTCATCCAGCAGCTTGTCATGCTGTCGCCGCAGCTTCGCCCATTTGGCAAACTCGTCCTGGCTACTCGTCGCGTTGAGCTCGAGGCGAACCGCCAGGTACTCCTTTTGCTTCTGTCGCTGTTCGGTGAACTGCTTGGCAAGCGACGTTGGGATCGAGAGGTAGGCGCGCCATATCTGTAGCGAGGGAAAAGGTTAGCATTCATCTGACTCCAGCAAACGCGTATGGTGGGAGGAAAGAATAGGAAAGGGGTGCGCACGAGGTTGTTGATGGTGGTTGCGCCGATAGTGTTGACAAGCTGGACGACCAGCTCGATAACGAAAACGACGACCAGTAGCGACGGCATGTTGGCGGCTTGGGGGGACTAAGGGAGATGGATCGACAGCTTGGATGAGCGTCAGGGGGACGATGTTGTCATCGCTGTGTGTTTGGGTCGCCAGGCTGCTTCGAGAACCCATACGGCTGTGACGATGACGGAACTGCCAGCTCACACCACCCGGCAACGTGGTTTTGCCAGTCGCCAGTCATCGAGAGAGGGTTAGGGTATGTCGGACCTCCCAAGCCGATCGCCAGCCGATGCACCTCCTTAAACAACCCCCACTTGCCTGTTGTTGATTGAGATCACGGTTCCAAACAGACAGTTCCAATCACGCGAGTGTCTTATCCCACATCCGGCGAGTTTCCTATTGCTCGCCATTCTAGTCTCGCTGCTCCAGCAGAGAGCTGCTTCAAGCGACAAAGGACTGGACCCCAGCAAGAACGAACGACGGGATCCCGGTCATGTCACGAGCTCTGGATCAAGAAACGGCGGCGTCTCTAAAACGGGGAAATCCTTTAGACGCCTACCGGGCAATCGCGCACGCCCTAACACCGCCGGATGATGGCCTTCTTGAACTCGAGATTTTGGGCAAGAATCACCTTCTCGAGGAAGGCCAATATGTTATTCGGGATGGGCATGCCGTCGGCATCTCGAAACTGGGCCTGGTTCAGGCTTTCATGGTTGCGAGGCAGAAGCTGAGGGAACATCTTGACGGGATCAACCCGCAGACAAGTGACGAAGTGCTCGAAATGACGACACTCATTCTGCTCTTTGACCCAGAGTACCTGACGGCCGCCAACTCGAGGAAGCGTGTCATCCAAAGCGAGATAGCCACCAGCGGCGCTACACGTTCGAGTCTCGAGAAAGAGAAGCGTTTTCTCGACAGCCTACTGACGAGCAGACTGCACAGGCACACCAAGTCACCCACCCTCTGGAGCCACCGCCGCTGGCTCATCACCACGCTGGCATCGGTAAACATTCCGGTGGACATCCTTGGCGATATGCGGGACGTTATATTCGTGGCGGGGGAGAGGCATCCACGAAATTACTACGCCTGGTGTCACGCTCGGTTTTTAGTCGGCTTGAGGAGACATAACCCCCCAGAAGCATTGGCAGCGGTGCAGGGCTGGTGTTTCCAGCATCACACCGATATATCTGGCTGGTCGTTTCTCTCCTTCCTCCTCAACGCCGAGGGTACCCCGAGCAGGGAGTCCGGTTGCTCGACGTTCACAGAGGTTCTTAACCTGGCCAACTCGCTTCGGCTGTCTAATGAGTCGGTCTGGGTGTTCCTGCGAACGCTTGCAGCCTCGCGGCTGGTTGATGACGAGCAATACTCCCAGTTCCTCGCCGTCCAAGCAGCCGTTCATGAGACATCAACAGCGGCAGACCAGGCCGTGCTACGTGCTGCCGTGAACTGGTGTGAAACGTACCGGCCACGGACACACCCTGCGGGCAGTTGATGCGATACCAACACAGGACCTGAAATGCCACCACGGCCGCATGCCCTCTCGGCGCAAGTCGGTGCATAAAAATTGTCCGCTGAATACTTCCAACGTCCCTGGACCGTTGGACAGCCTAATCGGTATATGCAGACTCGGCGCCAACGGTCTATGGACGGCTGAGCACGGAAGGAACCGCTTGGCTTGGTCCCGAGACGTTGGCCTCCCTCACCATTCGCCGGCGCGCCACTTGGCTGCCAACGTCCAAAAACAAAGCAAATATCCGAGATGAGAAATGCAGAGTCCCAACCGTTTCTCGCCCCTCGCGGCCGTGACGAGCTGCATATCGACGCACAATATGGGCATAACTATCCCAAGAAGCGTGATGATCACGCAGGAAGGGTTTGCCTCTCATGAAGTTGACGGGTCCTACATCTGGACAATATCGGGCGGCACTGTAACCCACGATTCAGCCGAGAGAGGCGAGCGTCCGCATCGGGAAGCAGACAAATGGACCCAAAATTGGACCCGATCGACGAGGTTGCGAAGTCAGTTGGGCTTCGTACATACTGTAGCTACCGAGGACATACTGTGTACTTGATACATTCGTCTTGTGATCCCGAGAGGGGTTTCTGCTATCTAAGGATCTTCGGATCTGCCATGGGCGAGAAGCATCTTCCCAGTCGAGATGAAACAGGCGCACAGCTCAGCCTCGACGATCCGATCTCCCTCAGACATGGGCGGCGTGGCGGCTAGCCTTGATATCAGCTCTCGCTCATTGAACGGAATTGACGGTTCATAGAGTTTTTGACTCTTTGTCGCCTCGAAATGCTGAGCGGCATGGCGCCTGCTTGATATGCACATGTCGCCGTGTGGCCCATCACCGGTGACCGAAACCGATTGGGCGAACTTTGGACGGTCCCAAGTCGGCCCTTGGCACTGCATGACAGGGGGATAAGGTAGCACTGTTGTCTGGGGCGAGTTAGCGCCGGTCCCCCTGTTTAAACCCGCTTGGCCCCTCAGTCTTGCATGTCGACGAGCGCCAACAGCATATCGTCTGCAGCGGTTGTGGCAGGATTGCGTGTGTTTGTATTTTCCAAAATGAGGATCTCGCGACTGGCCGACGATTGTGTTGTTTGAGCTACCCGGCCGTTCCCGCGAGCGACACGGTCTGGCCAAATCGTGGTACCGGGCGTTGGCAAAGCCCGGAAAACCGGGGCTCACAAATTGGGATGAGAAGCCCCCCACCCGAGAGCTTGTTAAACCACCGTCCAATCATGGCGGGACTGCAAGATTAAACGTCAACTAGCCCCACGATCCAGAAGGCGCACCCGGGATTTTGTTTGCGCACGGAATTCATCAACCCACGCGGCTCTTCTTTCTTGTGCTTCTTCGTCTCAGAGCGCCATTCTGGCATTCTGCCAACGGTCGATCAGCACCAACTGGGATCCCAACCGGATTAGAGGGTTACACTCTGAGGAAACGCTCCGCTTCTCTCCACACTGAGCCGAGCCTGCCATACTGCATGCAGAACACCCGCATTTCGTGTCCAATGGCAAGAATGGGTTCAAGACAGGACCGCTGCTGCCAATTGACGATGTGCCCTTGCCCTTCCCCAGCGCAAGGCCAGTGTTCCATCATGTCTCGATCAGGAAGGAAATCCTCAAATCCCAGATAGTTTGCTACCTCCTGATATTACCGTCACACCAAGCCAACGCCATGTACCGCACCAACAGCCAGCCACCAGGTTGTGAAGGTCCGCACCCACAGGTCCAGGCCAAGGCCTGTCTTTCTTCTCCACGATGGGCCCGGCTCCGGGCGTTCATCAGATCCACATCCGCCGCCGCCCGCTGCCTCACTCCTTTCCCTTCTCCTCCGCGATCTCACTCGGGGCCTTACATCTACTCCCCCTCCCTCCACCGGCCCACCTCATTGGGCTGCTCATGGTGTGTCCGTCCACGAGGGGTTTCTATTTTACTTTGCATATTGCATCCTGCATCAAAGCCCATTGTTGGTTGTTTCTCTCTGTCTTGCATACATCACTTCAGCGTCTCGCCCAAGGCCGTGTCTCTCTCTCGCTCGTCTATACATCCCTTACAAACCTCGTATCGTCCGATTCCACTTGTTTCGAGTCTTTCCAGCCGCCCGTTTTTCCGATTGCTTTGTCGACCAGTTTCGGTTTTTGTAATTTTCACATTTCGCCATCATCGCATTTCTTCCTTGTCTTGCCGATAATTTTCCAACGGCCCCAGCTCGACTTTCTGGGCGGAACACCAATGTCGCTCTCTTAATCGCTAATTACTGTAATACTCTCGGTGCCCGAGTCTGTGACTCGCCGCCAGGCCAAATCGGTTCTCGCTGCTCACATGTTCTGAGCAACCGTCAGCCTTTCACATCCGAGCTCGTTCCCCGAGCATACCAACCCCCCGGGATCCATTGACGACGAACCATCCCTCACACCGACAACGGTGTGGGAGTGGTGAGGTTCCCGGTGGTGCCTCTTCATCATGACGAGAATAACAGCTCTGCTCCTGCAGCTGACGCTATGGGTTGCTACCGCCCACGCCTTCTTCCCGTTCGTTCCGAAGGGCCACTGCGCACCAGATGAGGAGTGCGGTCCTGTGAAAGTTGGGGGGAGGAGGACCAATGATGGATCAGATCAAACATCTGAAGGGCTTACCGTCGACCTCTACCACAAACCGACTCGTGTATGTTTTCCCGGACGTGCCGCCGGCCCTGTGCCGAAGCCCGGTATCACGGTCCACCGCATGCCTGTGCTGACATCTTGATAGCCCCACGATCCCTCCAAGTTTGACCCGATAGCCGAAGCCGCTACACGGCTCACTCGCAAATTCGGGAGACCGCAAGCTGCATCTGGGTCGGAGTTGAGCAAGAGGAAGAATACATATGCGGTCTCTAAGCCCGCCAACCCGACTGCACCTAACAGCGCAGGCATCTATCAGTACGGTCCCGACTATTCGTATTTCATCAGGGTCCAAGTGGGCACGGCCCAGCAACCCTTCTACATGCTCCTTGACACGGGAGCTTCCAACACATGGCTCATGGGCTCCGACTGCAACTCAGATGCCTGCCACCTACACGACACATTTGACCCCAGCACTTCGAAATCGTGGCGGACAGACAAGAAGCCTTTTATGATCCAGTACGGTTCGGGGAACCTCACAGGGAGCGTTGGCCAGGACACGGCCACGTTTGCTGGCCTCACGCACAATCTGTCTTTCGGACTCGCCAACTACACCACGGACGACTTCAAGCACTTTGCCTTTGATGGCATCCTGGGTCTTGCCACGAGCCCATCGGTGACGGGAACGTTCCTGCAGACGCTGAGGGAGAAGAAGGTGGTGGACTCACTCATCGTGAGCATTTCGATGAACCGGGATTCCGATGGGCATAACGATGGCCAGGTGACCTTTGGCGGCATCGATAAAACCAAATATAAGGGCGAGATCACATACCACACGATCGGACCCGATCAGAAGGAAAAGGGCGAGTGGGCCGTCACGTTGGATGATGCGAGTCTCAACGGCAAGTCGGCCGGCCTCCAAAGCAAACTCGCCTACATCGACACGGGCACATCCTTCATCTTTGCCCCGCCGGACGACCTGGCCGCGCTGTTCAAGCTGATCCCCGGGACGAGCTCGTCCCAGAACGGAGATTACGTGGAGTATCAGGTCCCGTGCGACACGACGCTGCCGATCCACCTCAGCTTTTCGGGCGTCGACTACCAGATCTCGGCTGCGGATTGGGTCGTGCAGAGGGACGAGAATAAGTGCATCGCCAACCTCTACGGTTTCGAGGTGTACAAGGGCACTTGGCTGATCGGCGACACCTTCTTAAAGAACGTGTACAGCGTCTTCGACGCCGATAAGATGCGCATCGGGTTCGCGGCGAAACCGGCACCACGGCCTAAGCCGACGTCTACGCTGGCTGGCTCGTCCGCCACGACTCTTACGCCCGCGGCAACTTCAGGCGCGACGGGTGATGACTCGGCACACCCCATCATGCCCGGCTTCAGCGGGCAGGAGCCGCCCCCGCCCGGGGCTGCCCAGACGTCGACCAGCGCGGGGTCTTCGCACACGGAGGTCAATGCCGCGAGTGGACTGCGGGGCAGCGTGTGTGGCCTTGTGCTATGCATCGCCGCCGCCGTTGCTATAGTCGGGTGAGAGAGATGATAATGGTGATTCTGGACGTGGTCCAGTTTACAGCCCAGCTGCGCTCGATTTGAGGAGCCAGCATACGGGTAAAGAAGGAGAGGGATATAGCCAGCCACAGATCCGGCTGGCGGGAAATGCTACCACTTTGAGTACGGGTAGTTATGTTTGTGTATGTGTGTGTGTGTGTGTGTGTGTGGTTCGTGTCCCACGCCTGGCAAAACGAGAGGGCAGTTGAGTTTGCAACATGATACCCCAGGAGAAAGGCGTGGACAGGCACGAACAAGGCGAGCTTGCTTACGGCTCAGATAACCATATGGCTCGCGGTTAATGGGAGCTCTGGATTTGTCTGTACTATCTTATAATAAGATTCTGTGAAATAACGCAGTTAAAACTTCTCTTCGCACCTTGGGCCGTATCGAGATCACTGGAGGTTGCTGGTATTCCGGCCATGTTTGTCCCTTTTGTATGTACAGGTATTTGTATGACGTCCGGATCGGGCCGTCCGGAAGTCGTATGTTTCAGCTGCTTCCGCCCTCCACTCCCAGGTGTGTTCAACCCCTGAGCCGCCCTGCAGAGCCACCGAACCCGACAGGGGTCTAATTGGCCGCGCCCGGGATTCAGGTCTGGGCTGATTGCATTTTGTAACGCTGCTCCGATTGCCCTGAAGTCACTCTACACACTCAGTAACATTGGAACTTCTTGCCGAGATCGACATCTTTTGTTTAACAAACCACCCGCCTTACTTTGCAAAAAAAAGATCTTGTCCTGCACAGCCCAAGGCCGAGACTGAGACTCACCCGGCTTGCGGCTGCGCAAAATGCCCTGAGTGCAGCAGAATGGCCAGGGCCACATCTCATGGCGCTGCAGCAGCTGCCAACGCTAGCAACCGACACGGCGCAACATCATCATCGTCCCCTTCCACAACAGCCGCCGGAAACACCAACGAAGAGGCCACCGGCTTACTCTCCTCGAACTCCGACCACGACGATGGCGGCGAAAGCAATAACAACCTCATAGTCCACCCGGGCTCTCCCCATGAGAACACCACCAACCCACGCACCCCCCGAACCCCAAACCGCGTGCGCTTCGACCTGCGCCCGACCTTTGTCGACGACCACACCACCAACAACAACAACAACCGCTCCCACAACAACACCAGCAATGGCTCCGCTCACCCCAACCCCGACACCTACCCCGGGCGCGAGAGCTTCGACACGGATTTCTCCCTGGACGACGAAAACGACCCGCTAACCGCGCAACACCGGGACGAGCACACCCGCACCCGCACCCAACAACGAGTCCCCCTGCTCACCGGCATCGAAGCCCCCTCCATCACCGTCGCCACCACCTCAGGAGGAGGCGAACCCGACGACGCCGAGGCCTGGCTCGCCGCCGAGCGCGCCCGCCCCAAGTCCTCGCTGCCCTCCGCCTTCATGAACATGGCCAACAGCATCATCGGCGCGGGCATCATCGGGCAGCCGTACGCGTTCCGCCAGGCGGGGCTGCTGGCGGGCGTGGTGCTGCTCGTGGTGCTGACCGTGGTGGTGGACTGGACGATCCGGCTGATTGTGGTGAACTCGAAGCTGAGCGGGGCGAGCTCGTTCCAGGGCACGGTGGAGAAGTGTTTTGGGCGGACGGGGCTGGTCGCGATTAGCGTGGCGCAGTGGGCGTTTGCGTTTGGCGGGATGGTGGCGTTTGGGGTGATTGTGGGCGATAGCATACCCAGTGTGTTGCGGGCCGTGTGGCCCGGGTTGAGGGAGATGCCTGTGGTGGGACTGTTGGCCGATCGCAGGGTTGTGATTGTGGTGTTTACCCTGTGCATTAGCTATCCGCTGGCGCTGTATCGGGATATTGCGAAGGTGAGTTGCTTCTTTCTGGCGCTGTCCTGTCTTGGGTGTGTGTTTGTGGAGAGAGAGAATAGGGGGCTAATTATTACGCGCGGGTAGTTGGCCAAGGCGAGCACGCTCGCGGTGGTGAGCATGGCGGTGATTGTGGTGACGGTGGTGGTGCAGGGCGCCATGGTGCCGGCCGAGGAGAGGGGGGTGCTGAAAGATTGGCGGATGTTGGTGATCAATGACGGGATATTCCAGGCTATCGGGGTGATATCCTTCGGTATGTTTAGATTATGTTAACAAGGCCCCAACTCTCGGTAACTAACAAAAACAGCCTTCGTCTGCCACCACAACTCCCTCCTAATCTACGGCTCCCTCGAAAAACCCACCATGGACCGCTTCGCCCGGGTCACGCACATCTCGACCGGCGTCTCCATGGTCGCCTGCCTCCTCATGGCGCTGTCGGGCTTTCTCATCTTCGGCGACAAGACGCAGGGCAACGTGCTCAACAACTTCCCCGCCGACAACACCATGGTCAACGTCGCGCGCCTCTGCTTCGGCCTCAACATGCTGACCACCCTGCCGCTCGAGGCCTTCGTCTGCCGCGAGGTCATGTTCAACTACTACTTCCCGGGCGAGCCTTTCAATATGAACCTGCACCTCATCTTCAGCTCGAGCCTGGTCTTCAGCGCCATGGTGCTGAGCCTGCTGACGTGCGATCTGGGCACTGTGTTCGATCTGGTAGGCGGCACCAGCGCCGCCGCCATGGCTTACATATTACCGCCGCTGTGCTACATCAAGCTCACGACGCGCTCGTGGAAGACGTACGTGGCCTGGGCCGTCGCGGGGTTCGGGTGTATGGTCATGGTGATGAGCATGCTTCAGGCGATAGGGAAAATCATCAGAGGTGAGATACTGACTACCGCGTGCGAATCGAATTGTGACGTGTCCAGCAGCTGACTTTGGAGTTGCAGGCGAAGGGGATACCAGGCAGTGTTACTGAGGTGGATAGACTAACTAATATTTTATGGACTTGTACATATACGGGCAGCATAATAGAAGGGAAAAGGGCGGGCAAGCGGTTGAGGTTTGATTAGTAGCCCTCGCATTGGTCCAGCGCGGCGTCAGGCTTGCTCAACTATTCATATACATTATAAAGTAGACTTCGAAGTGAAGCAGAATAATTCAGACCTCGAAGTACGGCGCTAGCAATCCCAGTGACCTCCGATGTCACATCGGCAGGGGCTTCAGAAAGTTGCTGGACCCTTAAGTAACCTCGTAACTCATAAGTCACTGTCGTCTACCTACCTAACTTGACTTCGTTTTGTTAACCTAGTAACTGCATTTTGCTTAACTTGACTCACCCAATTTCCTCAACCCAATCCAGCCAGTTCACTCTCCTGGAGTCTTGCCCCGTACCCAACCAACCCCCCAGCCCATCTTTCAGAATCCAGCTCCCCCCAGTGAGGTAACCAGAGTGTGTGACCATGTCTTGACCGGCCACGGGAGCTACCTCGAAGCTCCGCTGGACCACTCACTTGGCGTGGGGAACCACCCCGTCTATCGCTCCGGCGTTTCGCGCATCACACGCACACGCACCCCGCACCCTAACCCACCCGTCCGCCCTGATCCCGCCCTTCGGCGTATCCCGCTTATCTAGGTACCGTGACACTGCTGTGGCACTGCGTGGGAGAGAACGGGGCTGTTTGATTGGGCTGGGACGACTTATACGTAGGTTGCCCCGCCCTTCGGGAACGGAGATTTACACATGATTAGGAGGAGGGGGGTTTTCGGTGTGCGGGGTCCGCCGGGCTCGTGTGTGACGCCGGTAGGTGCGATGGGGTTCAGGTAAAAGGTCGGGCAGTCTTCCATGTGGAGGGTGGTCATTCGGGGGAATTGGTTTCGATTTGCAAATGCAAAAGCAGGTGACTTTATTGGGCGGGAGGGTGTGGAGGTGGCTGCCTGGATGCAGCCTTTCGTTCGTTCGTTCGGTGGATGGGTTGCTGTGTGGGCGGGTGGTTCGCCTCGTGCAGCAGAGCAGGCTTGCCCACCTACTCGAATCGACCTACCGATGCAGCAGAACGGGGCGTAGGAGACCCAAAACGGGCAAGAGTCGAGTTGCGTGGGAGGGTGGTTGAGGGAAGGAAGGCCCGCCGATGGGAAGGTGGTTGTTAAAAGACCCCGCTCTCCCACCCTCAAGTTGAACTTCGTGTTGAACCCACCATCATCCTGCTTGAATCTCACAGCACGAAAGACTTCAAAACCGAGACTTACCTACAACTACTTACCACTCAACAACACAACACCAGACAACCCAGCCAACATGCACCACAGCAGCTGCCCCAAGTGCGGAGCCTCGGCGGACGGTGAGAACAAGTCGTGCGGCTCCTGCGGCGCCGTGAGTGCTCCCCCTTCCCTTTCCGGTGTGGGTGTTGATCCAAAGGCGTGCCATCAACCTAACCCGTACCAACAGAGCTGCCCCGTCTAAATCACGGAGTTCAACCCTCGCGCCCGTGCCCTCAGTCGGTCTATCTCCATCAACCACCGGGCTATGAGTCATGAATCGTCTCGTTTCTCTTGCGCGGTTCAGTTATGTCGACGGATGTTCTCTCGTAGTATGCGGAGAAGAGGACGGCATTTTAGCAATGGTTATGGCTTCAGATTCGGGAACGCCGTCAATGAATGCAAGATTATCACTGAGGCCCTCTACCAAATGACTGTGCTCGGTGTTAAATAAACCCGATCGTTGCCATAGCGTGGTGTAGAGCGACCTGCATAGTCAACAACCTAAACTCTCCGATTCAAAACGAGTCCGACGTCAAGAGGGACAGGGAAATGGGATTTATGTGACTATATTCAACTCACGAGGCAGAAACCAGACCAATGGACCAGAACCTCAATAACCAAGACACACACAAGACACGAAGCCTGGTCCAAAAAAGAGCATGAATAAATAGATAGCTAACTAGTAAAAACGAGGATGGGAAACCGCGGTACCGTCAAGTAATCTGAGACAGAAAAAAAAGGACAAGATAGAAAAGGAAGAGGACGTGTTGGATTATTGCATGCCGCCCAGTACTTGCTTAGCCGGTCATCTCCAACTCAGCCGAGACTCAGGGCCTGCGTGAGCAGTACCCTAGAATTACCCACGATGCTCGTGATTGCATCCTCCCTTTCCTCGGCTCATAGCTGCCAACGTCGAAGTCTCGTTTCTCCGTCCTTCGCCAGGATCGCCTGCTTACCACTACCCGGGAGCACGCGGCCGTTCACCATTCGGCGCTTCTCACGCCGGCTGGGAAAAGAAGTGTGAGGAATTCTATCTCTCTTTCTAGGGCCAAGGATCCCATCGTGACGGGTGTTCTGTTGCCAAAACGGTCCATGTCGGACAACAGCGGTTGACAGCCGTGAAGACGGCTATTCGTAATCGGCCTACGTTTAGGCGATGACGCACTTGCTCTTCTTTTTCCCGGCCTTCTTGAGGAGAGCCGCCCGTGTCGCGAACTCGAACACCTCACGGACACCCTCGTTGGTCTTGGCCGAGCACTCGAGGTACTTGGTGGCCTTGATGTTGTTGGCAACCGTTGTGGCCTGATACCGTAGCGCGTTAGTGTCCGCTTCCCTAATGCGGGCAACCCGAGTCCGCCTCTTGGCGGGCCATTCGGGGATTCATTCTGATGCGGCTTACCTGCTCAGGGGTGACGGGTTGCTGGCTGGTCTTGCGGAGTTCCTCGATCGTCTTCTGGTCGAAACGAAGATCCTTCTTGCAGCCAACCAGAATCTTGGGGACATCAGGGCAGAAGTGATGTACTTCAGAGCACCACTATCGAACAGCATTAGCAAATCTGAGAGCCGTGTACCGCGTGACGCGTTCATCTGGAACGGCCTAGACAGCAACTAACCTTCTCGCCAACGTTATCCAAAGAGTCGGGCGAGTCAACGGCGAAGCAGATTAGGATGACGTGGGAGTCGGGGTATGACAGGGGCCGCAGCCGGTCGTAATCCTCCTGGCCAGCCGTATCCCATAGCGCCAACTCAACATGCTTTCCATCGACCTCGACATCGGCAACGTAGTTTTCGAAGACAGTGGGGACGTAAACCTGGATGCCATGTTAGCCATTGTAGTGGTAAGGTTTGGTTGGGTTCGATGCGGTGAAGAAGGAAGCCCGATAGAGGGAGGGAGTCCTGGGATAGGGGAGCCGAATGTCGAGGCGGTCTGCGGCAATGCAGGGTTCAAGCACAACGACTGTTGTTCAAGGTGCGAAAATGAATCTCGGGAGGGTTGGCTTACCTCTGGGAAGGTACCCTTGGAGAAAACACTGGTGACAGAAACGAGTTAGTATGGCGACGCGTCGATCACAAGGAAATGGCGGCAAAGCGTCAAGGTCGCCCCCAACCGACCGCGGTCGGCAGGGAAAGCGAGGACACTCACATCAACAAGCAAGTCTTGCCGCAGGCACCGTCGCCGACGATGACCAGCTTTCTGCGGAGCTCGGCGGCCATGGTTGCTGGGGACGAGAGCTCTGTGATGAAGAAGGGTATCGGGATGTGTTTGGTGATGCTGCAGCAGGATGAGCTGCAAACAAGGCGTAAGATCTGGAAGTCGCCGGAGAAAAAAACAACGGCAGTCGTGGGTCGCAGTGAATGAGGGAAGGCGGCAGGCGATGCCTCTAGGAGAATCGGTCGCCGGTTTGTTGATGCAGTAAATGCAAGAGAGATGGAAAAGGTGAAAAGTGGAGGAAGTGCTCGGGTGTGGAAAAGGGCCAGAAGTCAGCGGTCGCTGCAATTGATGACAGAGAAAGGGCGACAGTGCTCAGTGCGCTGGGGGAATGGCCGAGAAGAAGGGGTTGAGTGGGTGCCGCCTAGAATGGGGCGCTCTGAGTGGACAGAACCTTGCCAGGCTTCGGGGGGGCTTGCTCAAGTGCTGTTCGCTTGGTCTGCGCTGATAGGAGGCAGCACAACGACCAAGTGTCGGTCTCTTCTCGTGTTTTGTTTTTCGGCACTTTTGTAATGAGATGCCACGTGAACGAGGTGATCTTTGCAATTGTTCTTTAGAAGGGTTTACAGAATTCCTAGAAGGGCGGCAGGACTTCTTTTCCGCTTCTTATCGGGGCAGAAGGGCTGCGAAACGGCAAGTCGTCATCAAGATGGCTGCGGTCGGAGCTGGGACCAGTCAGTTTCGCTTGATGCTTGCTTTGTCGATCGGGCCCCAGGAAGGCTGGCCCAGGGCTGGCAAACTCCGACAAACGATACGGCAGCCCCTGAATGGGTTGCGGAGCCTTTGGTGGGAGACCTTCACTTGTCATTCATTAGGTTGGTACAGGATTGGAAGTTGGTTGATTTGTTCGTTTTCAAGCACGTGAGGATGACTGCAGTCCCGGGTCCTGTAGCCAGACGGGTGGCAGGGAGATGTGATTCCTGACGGATGAGCTCTCATTATTCGCCCCCTGTTCAGACACGTCGGCTGAGCTACGAAATAACGAGAACTTGGGCGGGTACCCAAAGTCTGGGGGAGCAACCATAACAGAACCTTGAGCATTGAATCGTAGAACTGTGGAATGATTCCTAGAAACCCGACACAGCGGTAGTTATTAGAGCAGTAGTCAGGCCTACCTAGCTATTTCAACCTCACTGTTGTCACCGTAACAGATCATCGCTCTAAAACGGCGGCCTCCCCTTGAATATCGGGGGAGTGGGCAATTGTGGAATTGGAGACCTCCCTTCCGTAGCTCCATGTGCTTACACCAAAACCGGGATGAGCAGCAGTTGTTGTGGCGCGTGCCCCCGCGTCCCGGCCATGAGCGGCCCGCAAAGTCCTAGGCCATCCATAGGACTTGGGTGGCCTGGGGACCGAGCTTTCCCAGCAGGGGAGCCGGTGGAACAACGGTGCAAATTCCAGCCCATGAGCCGCAATAAGTTTCGGGGACCTCCTGAGAAAACGCCCCCGCCAAGTCGTAACTATCGTTGCAAGACTCGGAACTGTCCGATGACACTGGATCACGAGCATCGGGGGAAAGGTAGCGGAGACGCGGATGGTGGGTCATAAATTCGTAGGGTTTACATGGGTACCTAAAAGGGGATATTATTGCAAAGACCCTTCTGTTCCAAGGTTGCTCTCGGTTTGTTGATGATGGCTCTTTGCCTTTTGGAAACAGTTGTAAGAACCCTGCATTCGGACAAGTTTTAATGCAGAGTGGTGCATGAATGGGCCGAGGAGATGCATGATAGATCCTTGCCCAGAGACCAAGACTTGTCAGCGGAGCCTGCGAGACTGTCGATTGTTCAGCCGACTGTCAGCTGTCATTGGAAGCCGACTGTCAGCTGTCATTGGAAGCCGACCTCAGCAGTGCCAGCCGTCAAACGGCACAAAAATAATGGGTCTCTAAAAGCGGGGCCCGTTGGAATCAGTGGGATGTAACTTTTTCGAGATGGCGGCGATCTGGATATCGTCGAGACCAAGCAGCCTGGGATTCCAGAACACCCCTCCGACGATAGCGACCAACATCGACCGGCACCGCTCGCCCGCCGAATATCTCCCCGGCCCGGCAACTTGATTGGCCTGACTGCGGCCTCCTCTCACCTCGCCGGCGCCATGGACAAAATTATTCGCCGTGTGCGCATGGCTGAGCGCAATGTTGCACGGCGAGCCAAGCGCAGGGAATACGCTCTCAACGGCGGGAAGCGTCGCCGGAACCTCCAAGAAATTATGATGCAGAGAAAACAAGTCGGTTCTGAACTTGGGGCTGCTATCAAGGCCCGGCACGAAGATCGCGAGCTCGGTCCTCTCGCACCAAAACGCGATATCCCCAAACCCAACCAGTTCAACCTCTACTGGGGTTCAATTTCCCCCGATCGGGCTACACTCACTTCCAAAATTTCCGATGCACAGAGAGAAGCCCGCGGCGCTTGGGCGGGAGGGGCGAAACTACTTTGTCTGGCTCCGGGCGACAGAGTCGTCATTACCGAAGGCGCCTACAAGGGCCAAATTTCAGCAATTAGCTCGATCAACAAGACTAACATGACGGTCGAGGTCGATGGCAACGTCGGCATTGTAAGAATCCCCCCCATATCTGCGTCTGGCGCCGCGCTCTCACACATGGAAACAGACGAACATCAGGGTTCCCGACTTCCTCCTCCAGGAAGAAGACCCAAGGGCCGTTCAGCAGATCAAGGAACACATTCCTATCTCGGCCGTCCGGCTGGTACACCCACTCGAAGACCCGGCGACCGGCACGATCCGCGACGTCATCATTCGCGAGCTCAAGCCCATCCGGGTGAAGCACGACCGGCCGACGCGCAAGGTCTTCTTCTTGCGCATGGTCCCGGGACTAAACGTGCAGATCCCCTGGCCAAAGGTGCAACCGATCCCGAAAGAAGCCTATGCGGACGATACACTCCGCCTCGATGTCGAGGAGCGTACCTTCGTGCCAACGCTCCTGCGCCCGCCCATGCCCGAGAAGGTACTAGACGAGCTGCGCAACCGATACTCCAAGTTCCGTACGCGCCATACCCCCGAGTACATCGCCGAGATCGAGGCGCGCGAGGCCGAGAAGAAGGCCCGCCAGAAAGGGGCCCGCGTCGACGAGATGCTGCTGCCCGTGCAGGAGTACAACCGCAAGATACGTGAGCAGCGCCGCGAGCGTGGCGCTCCCGAGCTGTCCGAGGAGATGCTCGAGAAGATCGGCGAGGTCATTGCCAAGAACAAGTTGGCTAGATCACAAGGTGCTGTCGCGCCTGCGGAGGCGGAAGTGGACAAGGTGCAGAAAGCGGTAGAGGAGCTGTCACTGGGCGGCGATGTGCAAGGTACGACTGGAGGGGACCAACCCAGGCCATGAGCGGAGCCACGGAGCTGCTCTTGGAACAGGGCTGTCTTCTGGAGCCAACATCCCTTACCTTCCGGGCAACAACATCTGACGATGGGCCTCGAGAAGGAGGGGGCGGGGTTGTAACATAGTCGTCACGGCAGCAATCTGTGCCCCTATTCCGTGTAACGATAGTGTGGATATAGAGCATATACCGTGGGACTTTTGTCCCAATTCCGACACCCACATCTTGTTCAACCTCCACTCGAAACTTATAACCCAAAGCCCACCCCAAAAGATCCCGCAACCACCTCTCCCGGAACCAGCCATTCGCGATGGGGGCCACGCACCTCTCACCTCGCCCAGATCCCAACACGGCCATATCCAATCTATCCATTGGCCACTCCTCCAACGCCTCCCAACCAACCAAGTAGCCGGGCATGCCAAACCGGGCCAGGCAGCCCCAGCACACCAAGGGGCTTTCCACGCCTTGGAACTGCATTGCCACGGCGCAACCCCCCTCTCCTTTCGTCACAGCGATAAAACAGAAAAACCGTATTTGGTAAATAAAAGCTCCGATAGGACTGCAAGAGACGGATGGCCGGCTGAGCTGCAGGGCGAACGCAAGGCATACTGCCACGGACAGCGCACACATAAAAACACGCCCCAAAAAACAGGGCGCACGAGACCACTCAGCAGGGTTATCTCGGGCCTGTTACCCACTTCCCCTGCCACCTAGGTAGACTCACAAAGGCAAGGCGGGCCTCGGCGCGTGCCGTGTCAATGGAAGGGCGAGTATTTCGCTGTGTGCGAAGCTCGTGAGATAACTACTTCGAGAGAAAAGGAGGTTCGGGGCGTTACGTTCGTAACTCCGATTCTCGCCACGCAAGGCGAACTTGCGCACTTATATGGGCTTGTGTCACCTTGTTTTATTGCCCACAAGGCGGTCAACGTGAAATGAGTTCGAGATTTCTTTTTTGGGAGAGCCCAAGTCTGTTTTCTCCTTGACCCCATGAGTTATCTAATATGGAGACCTACAACATTCGAGGTTTCCCCATCCTAGACGGACCTGTTCTAACGGGAGGATGTCTCCAAAGCTCCCTGGTTTCGGTAATGACTGTCCCCTCCGCAGCTTTCGAACCCCCATAGATCCTAGGACCTCGCCCTCCAAGAAGGAAGTACCGTTTACTCCACGATCCGAGACCTTGTTCCTACTTACATCTTCCCGCTGCTCAACAGACTTGAAGTATGAACCCCGTCGGATATTCTCAACCGGCCGAATTTCCAAGGAAATCTTATATGGCAAAAAATCACAACGATGAAAAGCAACAGCCGACGCGTATAACCTCAGAGCCCTCGTTCGGTTGTTTCCTCTTGTTCACCAACCGACGCATGCCATCGGGCATCGTGGTGTCCTGTCATCCAAAACCCCCTCGAGCCTCAGGACTTCCAGAAGCAAGCCGGGTTACATAAAAAAACAACATTCAACAAACAACCACTCGAGGAAGAATTCCAACCCAAGTACCCGCACACAAGCACACCCATCATGAGAAAACTCACAAAAAAAAGAAAAGAAAAAGAAGGAAAAACAGGCAAGCCCGAGACAAAACAGGGTTTCTCACAGAGGTTACCGGCCTCGTTATCCCGAACCCCAGGGAAAAGAAGCGGAATAACTGTCTCCTAGTGATGCGGTCTGGATTCCGGTCTCACATCTGTCGATACGATGTCTGGTCTGTGGTATAAATGGGTATCGAGATCGCGAAACAAACAAACGACCCCTGAAAACCGGGAGACTAGCAAATAATACCCAATGACGACACAGAAATCAAAACCAAGGGAGAGACAGCACAAAGAGAACCTGGCCATTCGGCGACGGTTCAAGCCAACGGACAGTATTTGTCTCGTCGGATTTGGCCGGGTCGGCGCCCGAGATGTGGGGTCGACGGTCCGGGGTTGACGGTCCGGGGTCGGGCCGTTGGTTGGTGGGGCGACGACGGGCCCGAGCCCCTGAGCCGCAAAAAGAAGACGCGTCGTTGTGAGCGCGTTTGCTTCAGGCACACCACTCCTCCTTTCAGGCAGAAATGTTTCCGCTTTCCCCTTACAACGGATATATAAACTGACTTTGACAGCGCAATGACGGTATGGCGCACTCGCGAAGTCGTCAAGTCAAATAAATATGGTCGGTTTTTTTTTGTCCACCTTCTTATCGTCTCTGGCTAGGCCTTTGCCGTTGCTTTTGCTGGCGGCGCCGCTCGCGTTCTTCTTTCTTCAGGTCGTGGAATTCCACCCTTACACTTTGGCCAAGTGGCTGCTGGTACGACGACGAAGAAGGGGGGTACGAATGATCGCCGGTAAGGCGACACGATTCGGGTGTTTCGTCATACTGCATGGCGACCTCGAACTGGTCGGGGTTCAGGACACCGTCATCATGCAAGTGCTTGACAAGGTGCAGGTCGCGGCGCGTACTCGCACTCGTCCAGTAATCATAGACGATATGGCTTCTTACATGCTGCATGCGCTCCACAAAGTTGGCATAAGCGTTGCGGGGATCTTCGGCAACGAAGGGGACGTGATCGCAGAACCAGCACATGAGCGTCTGCGGGAAACGGTTTTCAAGATGTTCGACGTGATGTCGGATCCACTCGTCTTCCTCGTCAAGGCCGAACGTCGCAGGACATTCCAGAAGCCCGAAAAACTCGCACCAGAGTGTTTGACCGGGGCTCCGCGGACCGGCGCCGGGGGTAGGGAATTGTTGGAGAAACGTTCGCAGAGGGTTATCCGGGCGTTCTGTGGGCGTCGTGATATGTGTCGTATCACGCCGGCTGTGTCGACTGCTGAAGCCAGAGCGAGAAGCGGCAGATGTCATCGTGGATGTCTCGGACGTGACAGTTGAAGCGGTCGCGTACTCGTACTGGTCGTCGTGGTGCTGGGGATGGTCGTACTGCGCATAGTTGGTGCCGTACTCGGATTCGTCGTCCTCGTCCAGCAGATTACTAGCTGTCAACGACGATGCCCAGCGGGGTTGATTGCCGTAGTTGGCAAACGGCGCTTGGCTATCTAAGTAGGCGCGGCGGCGGCGGCGGGCCCCGATGAGCTGATAAATCTCGGCGGGATTGACGTTGGCCCCCATGACGGTGGTGTGGTATGGTGGTGGCAGGGCGGTTGATCGGGGTGCGCCTCAGTGCTGTGAGGCGGGGTGGCTTGGAGGTGGGGGTTGCTGACTGGGGTTCGATCCTGCCGTGACCCGGCCCGGAGTTGCAGCGCGAGCTGCCGTTTGGACCACCAAAGTCGTCGCCCGACAACGTCAAAAAAGAGGCAATTTGGAGGGCTGGCCCTGTGAGCCAGCCGAACGGAGAGAAGGAAAACAGGATGCGGATGTTTCGATCCGACCACTATGGCACTAGTGTTGCTATTCTCGACGACTCTCTTTCGCAAGACGACCAGCGTCAAGTCACGTCGATGCCCAGGACAGGATTTAAGTGGGCAGCGTCGAGGCTAAAACCAAGACCGCGGAGGCATATGCGAGAGTGATGTCGAGGATTGGCACCGTGGGAGGCGGGATCAGGGGCGGGGATGGGGAGGCATTGGAAGCTTACGGGAATTGCCAGTGGGATTCCGGGTCGGGGGCGGGGTCGATTTATGTTGTAACGAGGTGAGTCTTGCTTCCCATTCCTGCGGTTTTGGTTCCTCAATTTCGCTCTTTCCACACGGGCAAGATCCAGATCGGCCCGCGTTACCTACCTTACCCTAAGTGCCTCTTGCCTGTCAGCACGCGCACACGTCGGGTCCATTCTGGGGTACTCCCTAGTAGGCTCCGGTCCTCTCGGTTCAGGTCCTTCTACTGCTGCCCGAGGGTGAGATGTGGGTGAGCGGGGACGCTAGCCAAACCAACCGCATAGACGCAATTACTACCGAACCATACAACTTTGGCGGATTCCCATCGACGACCGCCAGCCTGTCCCACCCTCACGCTTGACGCGCTTCGCACCCATCTTTGATGAAAATCACGACGCCGGGTCTGGGCATGCCTGGTCGACTCTTGCCCTCCCATTCTCGAATCCATCCAATCGATATCGCCCATTCACGCTCATTTGCGCGCACAGTTCCAACCGACTTCCGACATGATGCAACTCGGGGAACTTTGGCCGAGGGGTTTTCCCATGTGCCTCGGACTTCACTAACTGGCTGCCGTATGTGCGGCCCGCCCCAAGCCGTCCCACAAGACCCTCGACTGGGGCCGGAAAGGGGCAAGCGCCCGTCCATGTCGCATAGCGGTTGCAATGGCAACCATCCGAGGTGCGGTTTCTCACCGCAAAGCTAGCCCCTAATCTCGTTCCGCGAACTTTGGTTTGTCTATATGCAGACTTCTCCGCAGTTGCGGAAAGTACTGGGTCAAAGTTAAAGACGCGCCGTACACACACGCGTCATCGCACAGAGCCTATCAACAGGTGACACGCCGTGGGAGGCGCGCGATCAACTTTGTTTGACGGTTTCGGGGGTCGAGGTCTTGCGGAGGTTGGGCTCTCGGTTTTCGCGGTTGCGCACAGCACGTGTGTGGTGTCGTGCGCAATCAGCGGACCACCGAAACTGAGTCGCTCATATCTTGCTTATCATCTTCTGCGCCACGCCTTTGCCATTCCCATGACGCAAATGGGTTGCCAGCGAGGGTCTGTACTCGAGCCTCATCTTCGGCGTACCTCATGGATGCCCGAAAATCTTTGAGAGCAGCGAGCTTTGTGGTGAAGTTGGGAATGAATGCCGCTGTGATTGCCGGGCTTTCGTCTATCGCCTTGTTCCCAAAAGCTGGCACCATTGTATTCATGTACCACAGCAGCCAGTGACAACTAGCTAGACCGAGTCCACAGAGTACCTGTCCATTGCCAGCCAGCCTGAGGCGCGCTTTTGGCCTGTGGTGACCGACTGTATCTGATAAGGACTCAATCAAAGTAAAACCTATTATACGGCAGTAATTCTCAGAATACCCTCGGCCGTCGGTATCTCTCCCCCGTTCATCTTGGCGTGCATGCTACCGAACCAGAGCGTTACGGTTCCCGGATGTGCGTCTCCCAGCCCAACGTCGACGCTCACTTTGGTGCTTAGTAACTGACTCAGGGAGGATCACGCCGCCATCATGCAAGCCACCGGATCAGCCACTTGCCGTCATTGCTAAAACGAGGAGGCCGATAGAGACCGATAGAGCAGCCCAGCGGGCCCCACGACGAACCAGATGCAGTTCGCAGCCACATGGCTCCCGAGGGAACAAGGCTCTGAATGCTCATGCAAGCAATGCATGCTACCCCAGGACCGAAATGGACACCGGTCGGAGCTATGATCGACAGGCCGTCATTGTCGTGGCTCAAGAGGAATGGCGAAGATCCGAACCGTGTAGTTGGGTCGCCCGACCATACCGTTGACTGGGATGACTTGGTCTTCATCCTCACACTTCGATGCTTGGTCGTCGAGGGCATTCCGCGGAGACCTGTAGAGCGAGATGACACGATCCGCAAGGACTGCGTTGGGAAGACCTCGAACCTCTGCATCGGTCACGCCGGTTTCCCGGGTGGGGGGAATTGGCGGCTCCGCGACACCAATGACGTCCCAGCTCGCTGGTTGCATCTCAATATGGCCATGGCCGTCCGCCCTGTTGTAACCCCTCTCTCAAGCAGGACAGCATGACTCCGCTCCCCCAAGTCAGACCGGGAGATAGCCAACCAATCCGATTCGGCGCGAGCTTGAGAATCAATCAAACTCGGGCCAGCTACGCCAGTGAAGGCCGAGGCCGAGTCACGGTTCCCTATATACCGCCCTTGTGATTTGGCGGTAATGACGCCGCCGCCCAACAAGCCCAGAACTGAAGACACCGGCAGTCGCTGGCCTGCAGTCATGGCTGTTGGCAGACGTATCGTCCGGTCACAGAAAGTAGATACCGAGCCTCCCAACCCTTTCTATCCTTCTCTAGTTGGTGTGAGACACCCCAACCACTGAGCTGCCCTACTCTGGACTGCAGAGCACCTTGGCCTTTGATATCACGTTCCGGTACTGCAAATGCCCACCGCTCTCATCACCCCGTTTGATAATGCACGGGAAGATAACACAGCAGATCTCTCTGTCTGCCAGGCTGTCCTCGTCTTCGCCCCCAATGTCCTCCATCGTCTCGCCGTTGAACATGATGCACTGGTGGGGAAGGATCTCGGGCATTTCAACCCTGAAGACTGCCTTTTGGACGGCGAGTAGCCGCGAGAGCTCGATAGCGCTGTGGACAAGTGCTTGTAGGCCTTGATCTCGAGCCTCTGTTGATTTCGTATTTGTTAAGGGGTCAAGGAGTTCGTTGACTTTGGAAACGACCGTTTCAACGATCTTGAAGGTTTCTTTCTCAAGCTTCTCGCTGGCGTCCTTTTTGATGGTAGTTAGGGTGAGGGAGCGCCACTGGTTGACCGACTCGGGTGATGATGCTATGAAAGAGTAAGCATTTCTCTTTCATCTGTTGCTTGGGTATCTTACTAGAGGAGAGGAAAGCCTCGACCTGCTTGATCTGCGCAGCCACATCGGTGGGAAGGCCAATAAAATAAGCGCCAAACACGAGCTCCACAAGATACCGCGAGACAACCGACTGAAGCAAATGGATTCTCGATGTCGAGGCTAGCTCTTCGTACATGGGCACCAGACGGGCCAATTCCGATATAGTATCCTCATGGGCGCTTGATAAGTCTGCTGCCGTCAGCACCCGTCCGACCAATTCTCGACCTTATCCCAGGCCCAGAGACCCCCACACACTTACCAAGCTTGGCCCGTCTAAAATTTACCAGCACCCAATTTTGCAAACCATTTCCCAACCGCGCCATACCCTCCCCAAAAACCTCGTCGCTCGTTTGCGCTTCCCCATCCGCCCGCGTGCTCTCGCTGACCCACTCCTTTTGCCCCCAGACCTGCGCCTTCAACTCGGCAACCTCCTCCTCCCTCTTCTCGAGCATATCCCTGACCCGCTGCCACGCGCCCCTGATCTCCCTCACCTGCGTATCCACATCCACGCCACCCTCCACGATCCCATCCATCCCCCAATAAACCTGACCCTGGCTGTGAACCTGATTCTGCACCCAACCCAGACCCAACCCCACCCCCTGCCCACCCGCCGTCTGCACGACGGCTACCGACTTCTCCAGCGCGGCGTACTTGGCCTGCCAGAAGGCGGCCGTCTCGCTCTCGGCGCTGCTGAGCTTGTCCAGCTCGCGGTGGAACTCGGACTCCATTAGGGCGAGCTCGCGCTCGAGCGAGGCGATGCGCACGTCCTTCTCGCGGAGCGCCGATTGGCAGGTTGCGATGGCGGCCGCGGTGGCGGTTGCATTTGCGGTTGCGGTTGCTGTGGGTTTTTGGGGTGGAGAGGGGGAGGGGGAGCGGTTGCGCGCTGCTGCTGCGGCTGCTGCTAGTGTTGCCGGAGCGAGATGGGGGCTGGCTTTGGCGGTGGCGGTGGTGGTGTTGTTGTTGTTGCGAGGGTTGTCGGGGGCTGGGGAGGAGGTGCCGCTTAGGGCGGCTCGTGGGGGTGGTGAGATGAAGGTGCTGCTACTGCTCGGGTTGGTCGTGATGTTGGCGGTGTTTGCGTTGCGAGTGTTGTTTGGGGAGGTTCGAGTCGGTCGTGGGGGAGAGCGAGGGCCGTTCGTGCTGCCGCCTTTGGGCCCGGCTCCTACGGGTGGGCGGCGTTTGGCGGGAGAAGTCATATCTGTTCGTGGCATATCGCGACGGCAAGGGAGTTGTTGGCTTCGTTCTCGGTATCCTCTGCTGGCCGAGGGGGAAGCTGTTTGTATTTAGATGATATGGACGATCGGGCTGAGGGATTTGCGGATTACGAACTGTATTACGACATAGCACCAGCCAGTGGTACATATGCTTTTTGTTAAAAATCGCTGACCAATGTCGGGGGCGAAGCTTCGAATTTTGTTGCAGCTGCCTGGCCGACGCGGAATGGCTGCGTCTTTGTCGTGGCGTGGTTGAATAAAGCGCTTGGCGACCAGGCGACTGGGAATGAGCTCAGCACACTCAGCCTTGTCCGATCTGGCGACCAGGGTGTTATTCAGCGCTAGGTACAGCTGATGCGGGGGTGGTCCAAGCTTATTTTAGGGACCGTTAGAGGCACCAAGTGGGGCGGGCCCCTGAGCTGCCCTTCCTGCGGGTGGAGGTACCGAGACAATCATCTACATGGAGACTCACTTCTGGGTGAACCAACATAGGTATATCATTTCTCAGATGACTCGAAACCCAATTTTAGGTCCCGATGAGACGGCATTCCAGTAGGTTAGAATGCAACCTCGGCCACCACTTCATACGCCTCATCCTCCTCCCCGTCTGTGACCACCTTTTGTGCTCCCATCTTACATATCGCGACCCTTTCGAGCGGTATATCCTCTGCCCACACCTGATTCTCATAACGGTAGATGATATCTGTAGCATCGAATACCAACCGCTCCCGCTTCCGCCCTCCCCTGCCCCCCCTGCCTCCTCTACTCCCCCGTCCCCTACCCCCACCACCTTCTCTCCCCTTCCCCTTAACATACACCGTGTTCACCACGGTAGCATGCAACAACAGCGGCCGTCCTTCGTCGGCCATTAGCTCTGCGTCCTTGAACACGTCCCGCACTCTCTCGCAAAAGGCCTGGAGCAGTCCGAACTGGTCGACGGGAGGCGCGTAGAGGACCGCTGCTCTGTCGGCCGACTGCATGCTCGCCAGGCCTCTCAACGTTATCTTGGGCACCTCCTGCTGCTTCTCCCCACCCTCCTCTACAAGCACCCCTACATCCTCCCCCTTCCCCTTCACCATACACACCAAACCCAAACACCATACAGGCCCTGGCACCTGCACCTGCCCCTCCTGGAGCCTCGTCACACCACAATCCTACGCCAGCCCCCTACGATACCACGACAACCCCACACCAGCAAGCACCTCCCTCGCCCTGCCCAACCCCCTCTCCCCATCACCACCACCACCACCACCACCCTCCACCGCCGCCGCCGCCGCCCCCACCGGAAAACTCATAACCCCCAACGTCAGATGCAGCGTCCCCAGCGGGCGGACCGCATCCGGCGGGAGGTCCCCTCCCCCAAGCCCGAGCGCCGCGCCACACACGTCTGAGCGGAAGGCCGACAGCGATGTGGCGAGCTGGGCGCGGGCGCGGGGGGAGACGGTCAGGGGGATGCAGAGGAAGTGCGTTGGTGGGGTGGGGCGCGGGGGTGGTGGTGGTGTTGTGGTGGTGGTCATTGCTGCTGCTGTTGCTGTTGCTGGGCGGGTGGGGAAGGGTTTGGGGGGCATTTTTTTTGGTTTTATTGTTGGGTTGAGTGTGGCTGGTGGGTTGTTGGTAGAGTAAGATGGGGTGATGGGAAGCAAATCTGATGTACCTAGGTGTAGTACCTAATGTTGAAGTTGATGGATGTAATGGTGATTGCGAGGTGGAGTCGTGGTCAATGAGGTGATCTCAGACAGGCCTTTTGGATAAATTCCGCCTACTGTGAATGGATCCAAGATGATATGTCTTTCAAGGCCATGATTTCCCGTTGTTGGTGGTAAGGTGATGTGATGTGAATGGGGAAGGGAATCCTAGCTCATTCCACTGCTTGTTGAAGAGCAATCAAAGCATGTGGTGGTCTGTGCTTTCATTCGCTGTGGCATATAAGAAAGTCAACACTACCGAGGTTGCTAACATCGCTCTCGTTATCACCCTCACCCTAAATCACTGTGCGCCTCAAACAGCCCACGCTCATAAAATATCATAAATGGTGGACTGGGCTACAGCCAGAAATCTAAACTACCCTCAACCAAGACAACCCTAACTTTGAGAGGTCAGGGCGATGCACATCTGGTTACTCATACCCAGCAGATAGACCGGAGCCCCAAGGCCGTTCATAAGCAGTGGAATGCCTCACGCTCACTATGCACATATACCCCCGCATATCTCATCGGCAAGCCCCTTCTGCCCGTTGGTATCTTGACTTGTTGAAAACATGACTCGCCCGGCCTCGCATTACCCTCCTACCCACGAAGCAACCGCTTGCTGCTGCCTGCCCATCGACGTTGTGCACCTTGCCTGTCCTAACAGCAACCAGCCATGGCCCCCCTTGTTGTCCGTTACCGGCCGGGTGTTGATCCGATACCTAGTCGAGGGAGTCTTGCCACAAGCGTCGGGCTCGGTGCAGATAGCTCGCTCCAATGTGCTTCATCGCTACTCAATGAATATTGGTATCCAGTAGTCCAAAGAATGCCATCATCCGTTTCTGTAGCTCCTTCGTATCCACCTTCGCTTTCTCGAGGGCCTCGGAAATCTTCTTGAGACACACCTCCTCATCGTCCTCAGGGGTGCTCTCAGTGGTTAGTCTATGGCCGTATTGCTGGATGATCTGGCAGCTCTCCTGTATCTTGGTGAACCCGAGAGTAGCGGAGGAACCCTTAAGAAAGTGGCCCAGGCTAGAAAGCTCATTCAGGTCGCTGGCTTTTCTGTTTGTTGATAGGAGGTTCTCGTTAGTCTGAATCCAACTTGGTTTGTTTCTCTGAAATCCCGTATTTCCCGCCCCCTTCTCTTTCTCTTCCTTTTGGATAGGCAGAGAAGAGGAACAGAGATCTGATTTGGCTACCATGAAAGCTGCCATCGGGGGCTAGCAGAAGGAAGCGGAAATTGTCCGGGAAGAAAGAACACCACCCATCGAAAGAGCACTTACAAGGCGTCCTCTATTCTCAGAAACGTCTCTGTCGCTTGATCAAAGAAGCCGACCACTAAAGGCTTGCTGAAATCATGGCCGTCCTCGTCCATCTCGAGAATCTGCGAGAAGGTGCCTTTGTCGACGTGATCTCCAAGTTGAGCCATTTTGTCATCATGTTGACTGTCCTGTGTGTCCTGTGTGCATGCGACCTGTGTTAGCAACCGACACCACATTTCATATCGAAGCCACAGACCTTATTGTCGAGCCCGTCCATAGTTTCGAAGCGGCACACAGTGGCGACCCTAGAATGCGAGGGAGGGGTAGGAGGGGGGTGGAAACCGACAAGGAGGTCGAAAGCCGAGCTGGGTAGGGAAGAAAGGTCCGAGGCCGAAAATAAAGAATAGGTAGACAGGAATAAGCTTGGGTACTGCCCAAGGCTGCAGTCTCGCTTGCCCCAAATTCTGGATTATTTCCCAAATACCTGGACCCTGCTGCAAGCGGGAAAAGGATGTCGCGTGCTACCTCGTAGGATGGACACACACAGGAACTGATGGCGATGGTGATGGTGGCGGTGCTAGTGGTAGGAGTGAGGTGTTAGAGAGAAGGCACGGGATGGGTTCATGTAACCGATGAGAGAATAGTAGGCCACCGCGGGGTAGGTACGGGCAGGTGGATGGGCAATTTTGCAAAAATGACATCTGAAATCGGGCTTACAGGAGACTGCGTCTATCGATATGAGAAGCACGGACACAGACACAGGCAAAGCTTCCAAACGGAGGTTGCCAGCAGCCAGCAACGGTTGTCAGCGTTCGGCGTCCGGAAGGGACCGTGGCCAAGGTGGGGATATTCTCGGGAGTTGGGAGGCTGATTGCTCGAGTCAACGAAGGGCCAGCAACCCAGAGCGGAGTGAGGTGGGGCCAACCTGTCACTTGAAGAAGGTGTGGAAGATTCGAGGCGCGTTTTGCGATGGAGAGGTGGAAGGGTGGCGGATACAGAACAGAGCCGGCGCCCACAGATCGTCAACGTTAAGCAGTGACGGAAGCGATGATGGAGATGCGAAAATTTGTGCGGGGTGGGAAAAATGGAGGGGCAGACAACGCTGGTTCTCGAGAGGGACCTCCGAGAGGGGACAGAATTTGCTACAAGAGGAAGACGACTCCAAAAAAGGATTTGGCCAAAGTGGAGGGTCGAACCGTGGTGGGGAGTCGGTGGACGATCAGGATGGTCGGTCAGGATGGTCTTCACAAGGCCCCAAGGCCCCCAGGAGAGTACAGGTAGTTGGTGGAGGTACCTGGTAATCATGCACAAAGCCAGATGCCACTTTGATCGAAATGTGGAGAAGTAAGTGGGATTCCGGAGCTGCACCAATTTCAATTATCAAATACGTACCCAACAGGGAGGTGTGATGACCCTGAAAAGGCCTTTGCCTTGTCCTACCTGGCCCTCTGTAATCCCTCCCGGTGCCGCCGTGCGGTGTGAAGAAACTCATCAACCCAAGATGCCAAAGGCCTTTGTTCTTTTTTGGTCACCTGGCAAACTATTATCTTGTGTTCTCTCGAGTCCTTGCTCGTGTGATATTTCTCCAGGCCCTACGGTGAGGGAAGCTAAAATAGTTCACTTCCGTTTTGAGCTGTGACGTAAACGAGTGGGCTGATTTTGGACCCTTGAAGTACCACTCACACCACAGATTCGCTGTCTTCACTCTGAGGTATCTCATCCCACCATGACCTATTATCAGTGTGGTATCTTCAAGGTTTCTTAAAGGAGCACCGAGGTGTAACTTTTGGAATATCATTGTTTGTGCATCCTCCAAAAATGCTTGGTTATCTTCTGTGTACATAATGCAGGGGTTCGCATCCTCTCAAGTGGGAGTCCAATCTTTTTTTATGTATCGTTAAAGCGGGTACATTCCGGCTGCCCCGCACTGGTAGCTCAACCCCGCAACCTTCCATCTCGAATATTTTTGGGTTGGTCTTGGAAGGGGTGAGATGTACGTGGTTACCTGTGATTCTCACTCTCACCGGTTTATTGATTTGATTAGGCAGCTGCCCTGCACATGCCCTAACCAGCTTTTACGAGTACAGGGTCCCAAACGGGCCGCTCCTGGAGATCGACAATCGAACTAGGTCGGCTTCCTTTCTTCGACCATCACTCCTACACTAGTGTGTCTACCATGGAACCTGACCGCCACATCGAAAAGCCCAAATGTCCTGGAGAAACATTGGGCATGTCTACTATCAAGCATTGATGCTTCAGACGATATAAAGCAGCCGAGCGAACGGACATTTGATCTCCGTGATAGTATTTATCCGATCCTCATGTCGCTCGAGAACACTCAACACCCAACCGTGTGACAGCCCACCAGAACTTTTTCTCGTGTCCCCCCAATGGAATGGAGACTGCTTGAAGCCGGGCAAATGCAGGGACCAATTAGCCCCCCATCCCAGTACATGTATGTGCTGCGACAGACCTCCAATGCTAACAGATCGCCGGTCACTCTGACGTTGCCCTGCATTTACGCCCGGGAATTGCGGCTAGTTGCACAGCCAAACAGCCAGCCACTCAGCCGGCCACGCTCTCTAAAACACACTGATCACCACGACGACAGACGGCTCGAGGACGGACATCTATACTGCTGATTGTCCCTTCAGTCCCCCAACCAGCGCCACCCTGGCTCGGCGCCGGGAGGACCGACCGTTATGCGATCGACGAGCGCAGTTGGTCCTTTGACCGAGGATCTGCAAGCAGTGAATCCCCACCTCGGAGAACAAATCCAACACTGGCCACCAAGTGCTCTCGCTTTCAGGGTGTTGATGGCCAACCAGGCTTTAAAGCCCATGGACAGGACCTTGTGCTCTCTGTACTCAGCGTGACTTCCCTTTTGCGTGAGTTATTCGTTTAGGCGAGTGCGGGACGGGCTACGCCAAGACAACCCCACGGCGTCTGGACCCCTTTCCCGTGCCCATCATTGCTCAGAATGGCCATCCTTTGGTGGGGCAGCACACGTTCATCTGTTCCCCGACGTCATTCCGCAAACTGTCGTCATTGGGAGCACCACCCCATCTGGGACGTTGCATGCATGGGTCCCGAGGAACCCACACCAAAAGAAGTTTGCTCGCCCGGGAGAAAACTCGGCGCTTGACGAGGAAAGAGGGCTGCTAGGTAGGCATCAGCTGGCCAGAGCCTTTTTATTCCTTTCAGATAACGACGAGAGAATCGCTGTTTTCTATCTAAAACAACCCTTTCGTTTGCCACCGCAAGATGTTCCAGAACACGCTGCCAATGTTTTGGTGGGGGAACGACCAGGCGGTTCCTTGGAAAAAGCAAAGGGTTGCAGGCACCGCGTGCGCTGGTGCCTCGTCGCCCCGACTGACCGGATATCGGCACGTCGCTGGTTCGGAGACAAGCCAGTCAGAAACATGGAGAGCGGGGTTTGTGGTTTCCGACTTTTCTTCCTCCCACGGACTTTTGAAAATCCAAGAACGGTTAAGTTCGCGAAACGGAGAGCGGTTACTGTGAGTTACTTGTACACTTCTGCCGCCCTGTCGGATCTTCAACAGACGTGGACCCTGAAGTAGCCAAGGAGGCTGCAGGGTGCTATTACCGCCGGCCCGGCACCTAGGCAATGCTAAATCGTCGGAGCCGGACAATCCTCCCGATGGCAGTCCCCGCCCACCCAACAACAACACCAACGAGGAGAGGCTCTCCTGATCACCATCTGAACGTCGTTTGAGCGGTCACCGCGCGTCGCTAGTCCACCCTGGGGTTGAAACCGGTGTGTGACCGTTCCGAAGCTCGAACAGGAAGGCTATCAAGATCTCGACCCCCCTTGCACGTTTGACCCGAGTCAGACCCCTGGCCAAGCCTAAACGGAGCGACAACTGCCTTTTCATTCTTGTAGCCGCGCAAGTACCGTGGCTCGGGGAATTTCGACGCATCTCCCCGATAAGCATGCTATCCTGGCCGAGCCCGGGACGCTCTCAAAATCCCGCGGAAATATCCCACCTTTTCAGCCAGCCTTGCTTTTCGTTCAGCAAGAAAGGAGAGACGTCCGAGAACATGAATACAAAACGTTCCTCCTGGTGCTAACTCCGGCGGGGATGCTCACCTCATCAAGCTCCTCGAACCACTTAAACCACCCAGAACCCATTGATCTTTAACGGTAACCAACAAAGCCTCACAACTCTCCCAAACCCCCGGTATCCCTCGGGCGTCCTGACCGACCATCGCGAGGCGTAACCTCTCGCCCTTCCCCCCCTCCCCCACTAAACAAGTAAGCAGGGAGGCAAGCAGGCGGGCGGCCCCGTCCCTCTCTTCACCACTCACCACCTGTCCAGTTCAACCAGCGGTCACTTTCCACTTTCGACCGCCGGAAGGGACAGCCCAACACGCCAGACCGGGCCCAGACCCTAACAGATGGGCCTGCCGAGCGATGCATGCGCCGACTTGCATCGTAACACTTTTTCAAAAAACCGGTTTTTGCACCCCGCGACCGCCAGTCGTTTGCGTCGTGGTCTCCCCTCTCCGCCCGTGCACCTGGGTCCAGAACCCTCTCGCGAGCCTCTCTCTTGTAGTATCACACGTGCACAATGGATATGGTTCTTGTTGAGGCGGTGGGTTTTGATGTCTGCCCAATTTATTTGTGGCCGTGGTGAGTGAATGTATCTCTCTCTCTCTCTCGTTTGTCCCAAGGGATGGGCATGGGGGGGTTGGAGACGTGGGGTAAGTGAAGGGGGGGTGGAAGCCATGGATGCATGTTGATATGGAAGAATGGGGAATTCTTTCTTTTTTTTGCCGGCCCTGGGGCGGGACGGTCGGCGCCGCGTGCATGGTTGAATGCACGGTTACGTTTGGAACCCTTAAAATGGAAGTTTGGTAAGCTCATTGTAGGGCGGTGATGGTAGGGTGGGAGAAACGTAGTATCACGGATCAACAGGCGGTCTGGAGATGTCTCAAAGCAGGGTGGGCTTCGAAATGTAACAAGTCCCTAATATTGTCCATAGCTGTGGGCTGTCCAACACCCGCGTGGGGGTTCTCAGCCCAGCAGATGGGGGTAGACGCTGATAATAATTATGCTGTAGTAATGCGACGCAGCAGGCGTCGATTAGATAACCCCTGGTAGCCTGATGGCCCCCAGCCTTGCCTGCCAGAGCTAACCCTCACAGAAGAAGGGAGTTCTTGGCCACGTTGAACAACCACGCCGCGTCGCTCAACAACCCGCCATCCTCCTTCGGCGGCCGTTCGTCCAATGGTACGGCAGTGGAATTCTGGACGCTCTTCAGAATCGCGGCCCGCCTTGCGTCCCGCTCCCGCTTCTCCTCCTCCCACGACTTGGAACTGCCCTCCCCGTAGACTTCTTCCTCGGGATCCTCCTCCTCCTCATCCTCCTCGTATTCCCGCCCCATCATCTTATCCACAATCCACGCCAGCACCCCCCTCTGCTTCGTAAGCTTCCGGATGTACTCCTCGTCCGCCTCCAGGATCTCGTCCTCGTCGTGCGTTGGGAAGCCAAACTCGAGCTCCATGTCGATGTTCACAAAGGCCGTCCCGGCCAGCGGCGTCTGCTCCTCACTCGACTCCGCCGCCGCCGCCACCTCCCCGAAGTAATCCTCCGCCACCTGCGGATCGTCCTCCATCGATGCCAGCAACTCGGCCCGCCGAATCTCCGCCGGCGTCATCGGCCGCCGGCTGCGGCTGCGACTCCCGCCACCACCACCACTAAAATGGCTCTGGACGGGCGACACCAACGTCGACGGCAGCGCCGATGCTGACGCCGAGGCGGAGTAGTCCCTGCTCCCACGCCGGTTGGCCTGGGCGCTCAGCGCGGCGCGGCGGTCGCGCTCCCAGCGCTGCTGCCGGTGGTGGAGGATGCGGGCTTGCGGCGTCAGGTCGTTCTCGTCGACGGGCGTTTGGGCGTGGGTCGGGGTGGTGATGGCCAGCTCGGCGCGGTCCGGGAGGCTGGATGTCGAGTTCGCCCGCGTCACGAGCCACCCCTGCCCCTTGGCGTCGCGCGCCTCAGACGCTATCAGTGCGCCGACGTGGAGCAGGAGCTCTGTGTCGGGGGAGTATGCTGTCGCGCTTCCGTGCTGCTGCTGCTGCGGCGCTGCGCGAGACTTTGGTGGAGCGGGCGCGCCAGCTGGGGCTGCGGCTGACGTAATTTGGGTTTGTGGTGTTTGTGATGCTGTCGGTCTTGGGAAGTTGGATCGAGGATTTGCTCTTGGTTAGGGCCGCCCGGGCTGGTGAGTACGGGACGGAGTGGTCTCGTGACGGGCGGCGGAAGGGCGGTGGTGAATGGGAGAGGATGACGGGAGTCGTGGGCGCGGATCGGCCTTGGATGTAGGATGTGTGTGGGCGAGAGAGTGCGGTGGTGTCGTACTCTTCGCGGGGTAATAAGGTTGTTAATGGTGCGAGTGTAAGATGGTCCGCTGCGGCACGGTTCTTTCGCCGCAATGACGGGGTTTGCAGGTTCGATGCAGGTTCCATTTTGTCGTGATGGTGAATTATAAGATGGGAAATTGGAACTGGGTGTCGGGTATCGGTAAGTTGGATGAAATTTTGAGAGGAGAGGTGGATTTGAATGGGCCCAAGATGAATGATTAAGTAGACGTCAGGGCCGAGCACTGAATCGAATGATCAAAATCAGCTTTGGCCTTCCCGATCATGGAAAGAAGGAAGGGTGCGAAAGTTGCCTGCTCCCTTGCAGCAGCTCTCAAACCTTGCTGTCAAGATTATTGCTCTCATTGGCTAATTGGCCGATCAGCATCGCTGCACTGGGCCCACTGCCACCGAGATCCAAGGTCTGGCCCACGCCCAAGCTTGTAGTGGGAACTTTTAGAGAGGCAAAATCTGGCTGATTTGCAGCCTCATCTTTTGTACCCGGTACTTCCGAGCCACGAAAACACCGTGCACCCAAGCTCTGTCAAGATGAGATGCACATGGATGGGGCTCAACTCATGAACCATGGAGTCAAAACCATCAAACTGGTGATTGACTGCACAGCATCACCTGATTACTGTACATCTGATGGGATGAAGAGCTTACCAAATATTCGGTGGTTTTGCATCAGCAATTCTGATTAGGTTTATGGGCTGATCTCCCAAAAAATCCCCGCCGTGAAAATTGCACAATAATTTTCCTCGTTTTTGCCACTCTGCTTTCCACAGGCAGTTTCAAGCCTTTTTTGCAAGGGATACAGGCGGCTCAGAGAGGTAACTTGCAGCTCAACTCCCCACCAAAGGCCGACTTCACCCGAAAGGAAGCCAATTTTTTAAGAGAATGAACTGACCCGCCCACATAATTAGTGCAAAGCCAGCTTTGACTCACATCATTATAACCGACAAGCCTTCCGACCGGTCGTGATGCGGAACCTGCGCAACATCGGGCACGGCGTCTTTCGGGTCCCGGATTCATCCTCGGCAACTGCCCTTCCCATTTCAGCATCTTGCTGGGATGTTTCTCGGGATGAGGTGATTGCCGCATGCGGGCCGACCCCCGGGGATGCCCGTATCGAGCTACTCCGTATTGCGAAAAATGCCCATCACATATCACCAGCACAACTGTAAGATTCAGTCATCATTTATTGTTTTATTATCTTGATCTTGTTTTTAAGGGTGTGGACTAAAATGTAAAACCTACAATGATAGGCAGTCACAGAGCATCGCATCATGGGATGCCTTGAGCCCAAACGAAAATGGCGAGCCAGATGCCATCGTGGGCATGCACTACTTTAGTGACACTTTGACAACATGTGTCATTATGGCCGGTGGTGACATGATCACGGTTACTGAAGACGAAGAAGGCGTCGCTATTCCCGGCGAGGCCCACGTCGAAATTGTAGGCACTCTTTTGCCCTCTATCGCGGGGGCCCGCTGGTCTCCAGATGAGGAGTTGCTAGTCGTTGCTACCGGGGATGCCAAGGTGGTGTTCATGAGCCGGAGCTGGCACGTCATTACCGAAGTCGGGCTCTCCGTCGACGACTTGAAGCTCTCCAAGCACGTCTCCGTGGGATGGGGCAAGAAGGAGACACAGTTCCAGGGGAGAGGTGCCAAGGCCAAGGCACTTCGGGACCCTACCATTCCTGAGAAGGTGGATGAGGGCACGTTGAGCCAGAATGACGACGGCCGTTGCAGCATCAGCTGGCGGGGCGACGGTGCCTATGTCGCTATCAACTTCCTCCAAGAAGGCGTGCGTCGTGTCATCCGCGTCTACAACCGCGACGGTGAGTTAGACAGTGTCAGCGAGCCGGTCGATGGCCTTGACGGGAGTCTGAGCTGGCGGCCCGAGGGCAACCTGATCGCCGGTATCCAACGCCTCCCTGACCGCGTGGATGTGGCCTTCTTTGAGAGAAACGGGCTGCGACATGGTCAATTTACCCTCCGCGCCCCTGCGGATAGCCCTGCCGTACTCGACAATGTGGCCCTGGAATGGAACTCCGACTCAACGGTCCTTGCTGTGATATTGAAAGACCGAATCCAGTTGTGGACCATGGGAAACTACCATTGGTATCTGAAACAGGAAGTACTCTGCTTGGACAGCATTGGTGCCAAAGGCCAGAGGCCCCTTTTCTCGTGGAATGTCGAGACACCCCTTCGGTTCGCAGCAGCGGTCGCGAGTAAGTTTCACTGACATCCTTTTCCCTGCCACCCCGGCATCTGACGGTTGCCAGGCAAGGTGCTTGTGAATGAATACGCCCTCACGGTATATCGAGGGCCGACAACAGCTCCGCACGACCACGGGGCCGTGGCGGTTGTCGATGGGCAAATCATCAAGTTCACGCCTTTCCGAACATGTAACCCCCCACCTCCTATGTCTATGTGCGAGCTTGAAGTCGAGTCCCCGATCATAGATGTGGCTTTTTCGACCGATTGCTCCTCAATGGCTGTTCTTCACCGAGTTGGCATCAGCTTCTTTACTCTCGAGGCGAAAGGCCCCCGCCTTTCCAACCCGAAACTCTTGAGCATGGCGCCATTTGGGAATACAGAGTCTCAATCCTATGACGAATCGTTACTTCAAGTCGGCTTTTCTAGCCCGAGGGAGCTTCATGTCCTTCGCATGACAGACGACCTCGAGTTGTTGCGATGCGATTTTGGCTCCCAGGAGGCCAAGTCATGGTTCAAGGCGGATGCAAGCTCCATCGTGACGATAGCATCACCCGGCTCTGCCTCGATAGAAGGTGTGGTGGCTCAGGATTTGTCTGGCGGGCTCAGCAAGATAACGGGTGAAGAGAAAACGCCTTTGTTCGTTCAGTTTCCCACTTTCCTACCATGGATCAGCTGCGTCGTACATGACGGCGAGCCCCTCGCGTTTGGCATGTCGAGGAACGGGCACCTTTACGCAAATTCGCGGCAGCTTGCGAAGAACTGTACCTCGTTCCTTGTCACAGACAGCCACCTCGTCTTCACCACTAGCAACCATTTCGTCAAGTTTGTTCACTTATCTTCGGAACAAGGTAAGTGGTTTCTCTCGCCAATGTTGCACGATCTCTAATCTTTATAGGACTCGACGTTCCGGCGGACGACCCCGAGAAGGACGAACGGTGCAGGAGCATTGAGCGAGGCGGGCGGCTGGTCACTGCCATTCCCACCAAGATGGCGTTGGTCCTGCAGATGCCGCGAGGCAACTTGGAGACCATCTATCCGCGTGCCATGGTGTTGGCTGGCATTAGAAAGCTGGTGGAACAAAAGGACTACGGCTCTGCATTCGCAACATGCCGGACTCAGCGTGTGGATATGAACATCCTGTTCGACCACCGCCCGGAGCAGTTCTTGGATAACGTGGGCCTGTTCCTCGACCAGGTGAAAGACCCAGCCAACATCGACTTGTTCCTGTCCTCGCTGAAGTACGTGAAGGTTCTTTTAGTGGTGTGCAGCCCAAGTGCTGACTTATTACAGGGAGGAAGACGTTACCCAGACAATGTACAGGGACACCAAGACTGCCGGCTCGCAGCCGCCCGACCCCAAGGCTGCTGTCAAGCCAGGAAAGACCAACATCGTTTGCGAAGCCGTCCTGCAGAGGCTCCGAGCGCAAAGGAAGGCCAACCTCCAAAACATCATCACGGCCCATGTCTGCAAGAGCCCACCCGCGCTTGACGATGGTTTGCTTGTGGTTGCTGAGCTGATGCAGGAGGACAGCGCCTTGGCGGAGCGCGCTGTCGAACACATCTGCTTCCTAGCCGACGTCAATCAGCTTTATGACCATGCTCTGGGGCTGTACAACCTGGATCTCACCATCCTGGTGGCCCAGCAATCCCAGCGAGACCCTCGCGAGTATCTGCCGTTCGTGCAGGAACTCCACAAGATGCCAGTGCTGAAGAGGCAGTTCACCATCGATGACAAGCTCGAACATTGGGAAAAGGCTCTGGACCACCTTAAAGCTCTCAACGACTTCGAACAAGTCAAGAGCTATATTGTCGAGCATACCCTCTACCAGCATGCTCTCGCAATCTACCGCCACGAGGAGCAGCACCACCGCGCCATCACCGATCTCTTCGCTGCGTATCTTAAATCCACCTCCCACTTTAAAGAAGCGGGTCTCGCGTACGAATCTCTCGACAACTTCGCCGACGCAACAGACTGCTATCTCAAAGCGGGGGCCACCTGCTGGCGTGAATGCCTCTACGCAGCGCAACAACAGAACCCGCCACTCGCGCCCGCCAAACTCTCCGAAATCGCCACCTCCCTTGCGGACGCCCTCCGCGAAGCCAAAGACCACGCCTCGGCAGCCACAATCCATCTCGACTACCTCGCCTCCGTCCCCTCCGCGATCCAACACCTCTGCAAGGGCTACCTCTTCGCCGACGCCCTGCGGCTCGCGGCCCTCCACAACCGGACCGACCTTCTCCCCACGGCCATCGACACGGGCCTCGCCGAAGCGCTCTCCTCCTCCACCGAATTCCTCGCCGACTGCAAAGCTCAGCTCCTCGCCCAAGTCCCCCGCATCGCCGAGCTCCGCCTCAAAGCCCGCGAGGACCCCCTCGCCTTCTACGAGGGCGAAAACCCCTTCGGCGGACGCACCGCCGGCGCCGGCGCCGACATCCCCGACGACATCTCGGTCGCCGCCTCCGGCGTCAGCACCTCGGCCAGCCTCTTCACGCGCTACACCAACAAGGGCGGCGCCGGCTCGGTGGGGACCGTCGGCACGGGGGTCTCGCGCGCCACGAGCAAGAACCGGCGGCGCGAGGAGAAGAAGCGCGCTCGCGGACGCAAGGGCACCGTCTACGAGGAGGAATACCTCGTCAACTCGGTGCGGCGGCTGGTGGAGCGTGTGGAGGCGGCTACGGCCGAGGTCGAGAGGCTTGTTTGGGGCCTTGCGAGGCGGGGGATGGCGGAGCGGGCGCGGGCGGTGGAGGAGTTGATGGCGGGGGTGTTGGAGGCGTGTCGGAAGGCGGTGGGGGAGGTTTGGCCGGCTGATGATACTGTTGGTGGTGGCGGTGGTGGTGTTGGGGAGGGGGGTGTGGAGCCGACAAGGGATCCGGGCTGCGGAGGGGTATCGGCCGGGTGGGGGGGATGGGGTGCTGTTTGATAGCTTGGAGGCGATGAGGGCGAGGCAGACGCCGCCTGTGGTGGGGGCGTTTGCGAGGTTGTCGTTGTTGGGGAATGGGGAAGTCTGGGTGGTGAGGGATGAGGGATGATGTGGTGGGATAGGTAGGGCATCTTGGGTGAGGTAAAAGCGTTGTTTGGCTATTTGGTAGGCGTGGCTATTTGGCAGGGAAGAATAAAAGGAGGTTGTGACGTCAATAGATATTGCATCTAGGGTATGGTAGTTTGGGTTGGCGGAGTGAAATTCATTGCTCAATCCCTATGAACTAGGGCTTTCCTATATATTACCCAATGGGTTAACCTACTCCTCACAGTAACAACTCGATACCTCCCCACCACAACGCCTGGCTCGCTCACAATCCAACCTCACCAACAACCGCCCCATCACTCTCCCTCAACCCCCCAACACCGACACCCATCAATGAAACTTCGCATCCACCCTCCCATACCTCACCCCATCCACCTTCAACTCGAACCCCAACCCCGCACTATCCACAATCATCTCGAGGGTGAAATCGAGGTTATCGAACTCGACGCCGCGGGTGGTGGTCAGGCGGGTGAAGAGGCTGCGGGGCACGGCGCTGAGGTCGGTGGTCAGGGTGCAGACGTGCACGAGGTCGCGGCTGTAGGCGCGCGGAGGCTCGTCGGCCTCGCAGGCGATCAGGTCGTCGGTCACGACGAGCGACTGGCCCGAGCGGAAGTTGCGCGTGTAGTGGAAGGCGATGGGTTGTAGCGGGGATATTGCCTCGCCCTGGGTGGGGTGGATGGCGGGTGTTAGTATTGGTGGGAGGATGTGGTGGTAGCATAGGTTGCTGGGAGGGGGGATGGTGGTAGAGGCTGCTGGGAAGGGTGGGGGGGAAGGGAAGCTCACCTTGGCGATATGCCACTGCATCCGGTCTGAAACCATCCAGCGCTCCCACAGAGGCGACCAGTACCGCTCCGTGACCGAGTGTTTGGCCTCGTCGTAGATGGTGGCGTATGACGTGCCGTAGTGCATGCGGGATTTGCGGGATATCACCATGTTACCCTCGAGGCCGCGCAATACGGCGCCGCGCACGACGGCCGTCCAGGCGTAGACGGGCTGCATCACCTCGATAGAAGGGTGTTCCGTGAGATCACTGGCGGGATTGGAGTTGGTAGGTATCTTGGTGTAAGGGGGCGGTGCGGCGCTGGTGAAGTGGTCTTTAAGCCGGCGATAGAGGTAATCGCTCTGGCCGAAACCGCCGACGAGGATGATACCCGAGACAACGCCACCCTTGGCGCGGAGGGTGTCGACCTGGCCCTGGACGAGATCGCAGACCTCCTTGACAACGGGGTCGAAAATGTCCTTGATTTGTTCAGCTGTCATGACGAGGAAGCCCGAGTCGAGGCCAGCTTCTTCATCGTCGGGGAGGCCGGGGAAGCTAGACAGTCACAGTCAGTCCGTCAGGGGTTCGCACGAGATTAGAGTAGGACGGAATTTCTTACGGAACGTTTACTTCTTGGTGCTCGTCCTCGTTGAAGTTGCGCTTAACAAACTCCTCAAAGTACCGGAGCCCCATCTGCCATGTCTTGCCCTTCTTCGTCTTGATCTCATCAAACCGGCTCTGGCCAATGCGGGTTTTCACATGCTCCTCGAAGCGGTAGTTGAGGAAAGCGCTTCCACAAAGTCCACCAGTCCCAACCGCAGACTCTTCCACACGAATCGGCTTCAGTGAGACGATTTTGTAAGCAATCAGACTGTCCACTCGTCAGCATGCTAGCATTTTCCTCGGTCCATCGTGGGTTCTCACTCGACAGTGCCGCCGCCGCCATCACAGACGATAAAGTTATCCCCAACCTTGAGGTTATTCGGCTGTATAGCTTTGAGGGTGTAGACAGCGGCCGCCTCGGGTTCGCTGATCATCTGAATTTGCGACTGCGAGCCCATACCAGCCCTCTCGGCTGCCTGGAGCGTTGTGTTCTTGGCGGCATCAGACCACACGGCAGGACATGTCAGGACATAGTCGACCTTGGTCGACGCCATGAAGGACTCGCCGTACCGTCGGCGGAGAGTGTCCATGGTGTGCTTGTATATTTGCGTCAGGTAGTCGCTTACGGCATCGACGACCGTCTTGTTGTACCGCTTGAGCTGGGCGGCCGTCTCTAGGGGGCTGACATAGAAGGGCAGCTTCTGCGAGCGGTCAAGAAACAACTTGATGCACCGGAGGCGCGACTCCTCGGGGCGGAACTGGAAGCCCCATTTTACCGTGGGCGCGGTCCCGGGGGCTGCCCCGGCTGGGAGGTCATAGGAGATTTCGGTCGGGACCTTGTCCGACGTGATGCCATTACCACCCGGCCATGTCTTGATGATTTCGACGTCGTCTGGTGTCCCGGTGTAAACAGCAGCAACCCTGGCGTTGTGTTAGCCGGTGAGCCCCTGAACTGAGACACGGTAACGGGCGTGTAAGCGAGGTAGAGCAACCGAACACTCACCCAGAGAAGGTAGTCCCGAAGTCAACGCCGACAATAAGCCGGTCGTTGATAGATGGCGGCTCCACAGCTAGGTCTCTAAGTGCACTGCCGGGAGTTCCAGGGGAGGTTGCCGAGCTGTTTGTGAAGTAGTCCCTGCTCTTACGGTTCCTCTGGCTCGGAGACGAGTGCATGGGTAGGGAGATGCTCATGGTGATACGGCTGGTCGATCTGCTTCCCTGCGACGTGCTATACGTTCATGGCATGAAGATAGAAAAGCGATGCAAGACGGGCCGAGGCACCAGCAACGTCAGAGACGAGCGGGACGGCTTGCCGCCGGGTACCGTCTTAACGTGGATAACAACAACCAGAGGCACACAGCCAGCCTCGCCCGTATATAAATAACCAACCACAACCACCAACAATCAATCAACTCATAAAAACGCAATGATGGAAATGAAATATATGAAAAGACAACAATTAGAATACCAACAGATAGCCTCAATAAACAACCCCCGCAAGTCAGCCTCGCGCCCCAAGGCGACGCTTGGTTAGGTAGGTATGAGAATCGCGAAGCAAGAAGCCGAGGCTGAATGAGCTGAGATGGGATGAAAATGGCGGGGCTTCCTTTTGGTGGGTTGAGGGGCACTGGCGGGCGGACCCTTACAGCTGGAAACAACCAAATGACGTTACCGATACAGGGGCGGCGGGCTGGTAAAAATGGCTGGCAGGAACTCAAAGAGATGCCGTGACGCAAGCTACAACAATGCGGCGGAATGGCCTGCCGGGCTGCCGGGCTGTCGTCGAGTCCTGGCGTATCGAATGCTGCTGCCTTGTGTGATGCAGATACCCAGGTGGTGGCCCGGTGGTGTGTGCGCGAACCCCAAGGCGGAGTGCCCTGGGCCGTGCCTGGGAGTGCCTGGCTGGCATGGCTCCAGCCTCAGGAGTCAGCCTCTGCTGTGCCTGTGCGTGTGCCTGAAAAGCGGGGTTTGCTCTCGATGTCGCCATGGGATGGAGTTGAAGTCAAGGTCACGTGAGTGCCAGGTTCCTGAATCGGCACCGAATGCATCTACGAAGTCCTTCGTACAACTTTTGTTTGGACATGAGACAGAAGGAGGGGTCATTTGACGCTGCCGCGCGTCAATTCCCAAAGCAGGCGTCTCAAAGCAGGCATCGTCGGTAGTAGCCGTAAGGAGGAATGACTCGAGGACTTGATGACTGACTCGATGACTCGCTCAACCTCTTGTCGAGGCAGGCACACCAAGGAAGGGAGGCGTTGATGAGTCAGGCAAATCTTTATAGAATGGAAGGAAGCAAACAAACAAGCAAGACCTGCATTCAAAAGCGCCCCAAAAAGCCTCCGCCCTATCATCAGGGGGCGGAAAGCAACAAGATCTGATAAGTGACAAGAACGAGAGACAAAAAGGGGGTGGCGTCCAACAAGCAGAAGGAAAGCCGCCAACCCCAAAAGCAAGCCACCCGCCCCTCAAAAAAAAAACCAAAAAAAAACACCAAACACAGAATCTCTCCGAAGCACACACGCACAGTCATCACCTCTCCATTCGCCAAGTACCAAGTCAACTAGCGCGTGTGACGGGCGATCCAAAACGCGCACCTCCCCGACCGTTTTCCCCCCAGTCCGTCAGTCAGTCGGACAGGCAACTTTGCAGTGTAAATCTCAGTCAGCGCGGCCATGGCCAATGCTCGAGCCACCATGCCATCTCCAACCCACTAACTAACTAGGTAACTCGCCAGCATGTCTCGGATAACCCACCGACCACATCCCCCCCAGGCCAGCAGGGCGCGCGATGCACCGCTTCCCTGGCTTGCCCCACTCCGCGTCCCTCGTCCCCCCCCATGGCTCAGATCCTCCCGGCCGGAATAGGCAAGAGGATCTCTCTCTCCTCTCTCTCTCTCTCTCTCTCTGATAAAGTGAGACAACGATCGGCTTCAAAGACGCCCCCCCGCGCCCACACGGGCCCGGCTGCTCATGCTTACCGAGTGTACGCTAAAGCTACGGGATACTGTGGACGGAAGAGGGGGACCTTGCGGTGATCATTGATTTTCTTTCTGGCCCGCCACGCCACCCGTGCACGAGCCGTGCTGCGGTGGATGTGTCTGTATGTACATATTCGTAGTTGCAAGTAATTGTGGTAAAAAAGGTGAGAACTGAGTGAGGAGTGGCGAATTGGCCGTAGTTATTGAATTGGTTTGATGTCTTCGTACTACATGATTAACCGCGGTATTCAGCGCGGTGGTAAGGTAAAAGACAAGACAAGACGGGCGTGCAAGAAGTTTCGTGATACAAAAACGGTGAAATCGACCAGTTCACGGGTAGCTCAAGCGAAAATGACAAAAAGACGACAAAATGCCTCCAGATAGCGCAACATGGGAACTTGGTCGGAGCAGCGATGGTGATAATTGACGATGACGCTCCGGCTGAAGTTTCTCTCTGGGAACGAGGACAGTGGTAGGTAGGTATGTGGACAAGGACAAACAGTATGTGAGGTAAGTATGTACGTGCGAGGTGATAGATATGCCGAGCGGTAACAAAGGACAGTAAGATCGATAAATACCAACAAATCCTCCCACGCATCCAGCCTCCCCCCCCCCCGCCCATCCAACCCAACTAACCATGACAATGTGTGTGGTGTGGTGTTTGCGAAATGACAAAGGAAATATGAACACCGATACGAAGTCTGCGGCGAGCAGCAGCAGCCTGTGGCGGGATAAGTGACGACCAAGGAATGTCCTATCCAGCCTTTTCACCTCCAATCTATATATAGGGGGGTATTGTAGTATTTGCAACGACAGAACAAATTGAAACGAGACAGGAAATCGATGACAAGATTATTAGAATCCGTACTTTCAACGGGGTGGGCGACAGCAGCATCCGCCCCCAGGGTATTCGTGATAAGTCGAAGTGAAACGCCACGACCAGAAAGCGTGGGTGGTATGATAATGCGCGATAGGAGAGAGCGAAATTCGAACGTCCGTACGTTGTGACAGACACCGCCGCAAGAAATCCGAGAACCGATAGAGTGAGTCGAGAAATGAGCGATGCGACCGATAGTGTATGATGATGCCACCCAGAAAAATGAAGACAAGCCCCAACACCGTCCCATGAAACCCAGCCAGGAACAAGACTTTTGTGTACGTGTGCGTATGTGTGCGTGTGTGAGACGGGTCGAGCGGAAAACAACCGCGCCGCCAAGTGCTTAGAAGCGGTTGCCCGCTGCCCAGATGCTCGCTGAGGCCGAAGCCGCCCAGTCGCCCTCATCGTATGGGGGTGTTGGCCACTTGTGCTCGGCCGCCGGCTTGTGGAAGTTTAGAGGCTTGGGGGTAATGGCCTCCTTGCCGTCACCGAAAAGCATCACATTACCGCTTGCAGAAGGTGAGGGTGTCGGGTACGGGTCAGCCATGCCCAAGGCGCCGACAGCTTGCCGTACTGGATCATTCCTCTCGAGACGCTTCATGGCCCGGTGGGTTGAGGTGAGAACCTCGTCTAGGAGCTCCTCCTCTTCGTCCGGGGCATCATACTGGTTGACATCGTGAACAGCATGCGCCCTCCGTGTCCGACTCGACACCGGATTTGTCCCTCGAGTCGTGCCCACCAAGTTATCCACAGACCTAGGTTGGTGGTGAGGCAACGAGTGATGACGCTTGAGCGTGGTGGTCGACGTCACCTGATGCGCAGGCGGTGCGGGAGGGATGTCGGAGACTTGCAGCTTCTTGTCCAAGGAGTCGTAGGTGTCCTTTGGGACAGGCGCAGGAGGCGGGCTGTCCATCACCATGGACGACCTGTTACTCCCCCATGGCCCGCAACCAGCTTGGGCTTCGAGGTCATCGTAGGCTGGCGAGATGGGTGTCTGATGCCTGCCAGAGAACCTCCTCGCGCGCTTCCGCAGGTGGGAGAAGAAGCTCTCCTTGTGGCCGCTCGTTGGCGAAGCAAGGCCCGAGTTCCCATTGAGGGCCCGCTCGGCCTGTTGCCTGTGGATCTCGGCGTAGTGGTTGGTGGTAGACTGCACAGACAATTGACGGCCAATCTTCTTGGACCCCTTCTCGTCGACTGGCGCAACCCTAATCCCGTTCGCATCGTAGTGCGCCCGGTTGTTTGCTTGAGCAGTAACGGCGTCGGACAAGGGGGAAATAGGGCGGATCGTCGGGAGAATGTTGATGGGCGCGACATTTGACGGGCCGTTTGCCCACGTCGTCCTCTTCTGCGGGGGCGCTCTCGGCTTAGGCGCGGGCGGCTCCGACGTGATGATGGGGGAAGGGCGCGCAGCGGGGGTTTCCTTGAGCACGGGCTGCGGGACCACAGAAATGGCCTCAACGCTCTCTGTCCGCCCAATCAAGGATTTCCTAAACCACGACGGCTTTGATGAGGTCGGTGTCGAGGTGACGGAATCCTTTCCCCTGCTCACATCGGACTGCTTCCGCCCCAAGGATCTTGGATGCTGATGATTTGGGTCGGAGAGGATCAACGGCATCGGCGAAATACTCGTGGGCAATCGCCTGCGACGATGTCGGGCGGTTCTTCGGGTCCCACATCAAACACCAGGTGACAAAGCGTGCAAGAGAGGCAGGCCATTGCGGAGTCGGCAGGAATGTGTCCATCGAATGCGGCGCCATCTTGGGAAACGAGAAGCCGAGCTTCCCGGCGAGCCGGGTCCCCTCTCTCCACTCGCCGCCACCGACCGGCAGACCAGCCTTGTTGGTCCAAACAGCAGGGCTTCCCATAATCTCACACACCCTCCACACCTGGTCGACCTCGTTTCCACCGGGGAAAAGAGGCTTCAGGGTAGCTACCTCCACGGCCATGGCACCAACGGCCCAAATATCGACGGGCGCCGAGTACTCGCCGGCCCTCAGAAGCACCTCCGGCGCGCGATACCACCTTGTCGAGACATAGGTCGTGTAAGGCAATTTCGAATGTGTCTCGCGCGCCAAGCCGAAGTCGGCAATCTTAACGGTGTAAGTGGGCGGCGTGGAAGGGGGTGTTACCAAAGCCGAATATCGCCTGAATGAGTTGGTGTAGTCAGAATGGGCTGAGGTAGAGACGAGGATGTTCTCGGGCTTGATGTCTCGGTGGAAGAAGCTGTGGGCGTGGATATGCTCAAGACCCTGCATGATCTGGAAGAGGATGCTCTTAACGCTGCCATTGTCAAGGCACTTGTGATCCCTCGCCTTCATTAGCTGGTAAAGATTCCCTTCCATGTACTCCATGCAAATATGAAGCTTCTTGCTGAAGGGATCAAGGAAAATGTCGAGCGCCGGGACTAGGTGGGGGTGGATGGGTAGTGTCCTGAGGAAGACCACCTCCCTCAGTTCCATGCATGCTGTAAACGAGTCAAACGTCTTCTTCATGGTCTTGATGGCAATCTGGTGGAGCATTGTTAGCACTGACTCAACAAGCACTTATAAAAAGGTAGTGACATACCACTGTGCCCCGGCGGGCAACGCTGGCGCCGGCACTCCGTACCCTGGCGAGGACCACACTGCCAAAGCTACCATCGCCAATCTCCTTCAAAACTTCGAACTTGTCCTCAAGAGCCATCCCATTGATGACCTGAGTAGACCCCCTGCGGGTCAAATCATGTGCTACCGTCATCTTGCCCCCCAAAAAGAATTAAAAAAGATATGTAGCTGTCGAGTCGCAGGCCGCGATCTAAGATTCTTCGTCCGAACTAATGCTGTACCCACAATGAACGACCCCTGACGCACTGCGACGGGACGAACTGCAAGCAGCAAGCTCTTCGCAAAAGAGCCACAGATTGTTTAGCGGGGCATTCAAAGGCGGCGATAAAGCGGACCAAGGCGAAACTTTCTCGAGGGGAGATAATGCCGTCGCGGGGGATGTAGTGGTGGTCAACGCTAACAGTGTGTCGCACAATTCGGAGGACCGTCGTCGGGATCGGCAGCGAGCGATCAGAGCGTCGCGATTGTATTCAAGGAGCGAAAATAGTTGGAGATTCGAGATCAAAGGAGTGGACGAGTGTTATTGACTCAAAAAAGGAGCGACATGAAATGATTGAATGGTGGAAAAAGGAGGTCGGTGGTTGTGGCAGGGTTTTGGGGAGGAGGACCGAGGCCAGGATCTTTTCGCGTTGCGGGTGGGTGGACCGATGGCCAGGGCCCGTAAAACGGAGGCTTTCGTGAGTGTAACAGCAGGCCCAGTTAGCGCGAACCGAAGCAACGGGTGCCAAAAAGATCGAAATTGGCTTTCCAGAAGAACGGAAATGCCCAGTCAAACTGCCTTGTCCAATGCGAGTCTGTAATAAGGAGCGAGGACGGGGAGGATGAGCGTTGGGTGTATCGGCGTCGTCGGGGCCTGGAGCTAAGGGTGTGTCCAGAGTCCCACAGTGTCGGATCTTGCGGGTTTCGCGCTTCAGGCTGTCGGTTCTCGTTGTGGTGGACGAGCGGTGACAGGCAGAAAGATAGAAACAACGCAGGCCAAAACGAACGAGCGAGACGAGCAAATTCCAGAGATAGGGAGAGAGATAAAGGCAGCGAGCTGCCCTCTCACGAGTCGCGAGGCGAAATGGTCGACAGTTTTTGCATCGGTCGGGTTTCGAGACGCTGGGGAAAGAGGAGCGCTTGCCGTTCTGTGGGAAATGGGCGTGTGTCCCCTAGCATGAATCGCCGGAGCCGGGGGGTGGACTTCGAGAAAAACGATAGGGTCCCCAATTTCGCTAGCGGCCCGTGGAGGTGTTGCTCTTCTCGAGCGCAAATTGAGCCTAGCCGGGGTTTGAAGAGGTTGGGAAAAGCAAAATGCGATGCGACAAGATCAAGCCCGGCAGTGCTTATTGGGAATCAAAAGTGCGAATTCACGACTGGGTGAGCGTTCGGGTGCTGCCAGGCCGGCACGCTGGTGGCACGCACCCACCGCTTGTTCCAGCCGCGGCGGGGGGGGAGGATTCTTGGTGTACCGCTCTCGTGGGAAGGAAGCAAACGTCCAAGTTGCTTCTGCTGGCTAGAAGCTTTACACGGTACTTCGTACACAGTATGCTACACGTCTTGTTCCTTTTTTGGAGCGTCTCATCGGTCCGACGAAACTTTACCAAGTTCTTGACCACCCCAACAACGGGTGCGATCGTTGCAATCTTGTTGCCGTTGCTCGGCTCCGGGTCTCCATCGTTGATGAACATCAACGTGACGCGGTAACTCACACAGTCTGGGCAGGCTGATCCCCCCATCACCCGCAACCGGTGCGCTTGACCGTTGGACACTCGGCTGTCGCCAAGATCGAGTTTCCGCCCTCCCCAGCATGTGTCATTGGCCGCGAAAACTGCCAAACCCGCTATTTTGAGGGGAAATAGGTATGAATGGGAGGTGCGCCCATAACGATCTCACGAGAGCCACCGCGCAGCTCGCGAGCATGCAGATTTGTCGAAAGGGCAAAGTGGTTTTGGTAGCATCGACTGTTATTCGCAACACCAAAACATTGTGTGGTTCGGTTCGTGTCAACGAGGCACGATCGCAGCCCCATTCGACGACGAGTCCGCCGGCCCCACATGTCTCAAAACGGCCATCGTTTTTACAGGGTTCCATCTTCTGTTCGAAGAGCGGAACGGATGCGCCGGTAGCTTGGAACAGGAGAGGTCGGGAGGGGGGAGAAAGAATTATTCATCGGACGAAACAAGGACGCGATTCCACAGCGAAAAGGCAAGAGATGATGGGGCGGCAAGCTCGTTAAGAAAAAGCTGCTGTTTCAGAGAGTGCGCGTTCGAAGCCCCATCACGTCCTGCGACGCGGGCTCATAAACGGTGTTGCATCAATGACGGAGCGAGCGACGCGGAGGGGACGGATACGGCCCTGAGAGGCCCCGGATGGGTGTGTGGGGTCGCGACGGTGCAAGTGTTCCAATAATGCCTCGCGCTAATTTAGCTATTCACGTCTCTGGCCCCGCCGAAAAGGGGTGGGCGGTCGGTTTTCGATTCCAAAAAGGGTCGACTCGCCAAGCCGCCACGGCCCTGAAGAACGGCGAACATCAAGATGTTTGACGGATTCTGCAAATGAAGGTGAACGAGTTTCGGTATCACGAGCCACGCGAGAGCGGGGCGACGAGGATGCAAATTACCATCCTCCGGTGAATGTTTTGATGTGCAATCCACAACAAGACACTCACATGAAGCTTTTCAAACCCCTCGCTCTTCCTGCCCCTCCATGGGGAACAGCAGCTGGGATTCATGGACACGGACCCAGACATAGACCAGCTGGGCCTCCCTTGGACTCGATCCCGCTGCTCTGGTCGAGGCGCCGGCAGCACAGGCCATCCCGCGGCGGCGCTGGTGAGGGGCGGTGGCAGGCAAGTCGACGCCGCCAGGTTCTGGAAACCTTCGATACTAACTGTCAAACACGTCAAGTGGGGTGTCATTTGATAGCACCAGGGTACCGGTTACCTCGGGCACCAAGCCTGTTCTGATTCATCAACACTCTTGGCAGTCGGCGGAAAGATCGTGAGAGCAATACGTCGCACAGGCATATGATTACCCTTACGAAGTACCTACACTGCTGTGCGCACAGTAAGGCTCTCGTGGAAGAGGCTGAACTCACAACGTGACACCAGAACATGGCTTCGATGAAAATTCCATCGATAGCAGCACCGTTGCGACGCTGCCGTTGAGTAGGCGGGCTTCTGGAAAGTGCGGCACCGCGAATGCCGCGCTCAGCTCCCCCTCGCATCAACGGTTTCGAGCCCTTGCTGGTTCTTCCATCTCTCTCTCTCGTCCTCTTGTCCACAGTACGTCAGCTCGGCGTAACAGGAGCGTAATGCTCCCGCGCAGCATGGTGAATTATTTCACGCTCCATCTTCGTATCCCAGCTTTCTTCCACAGCAACCGGCAAGAGGCGAACCGCAAGACCGTTCCAGGAGGATGGGAAATTGCAGCTCGCCACCCAACCTAGCCCCCTTGAGTAAGACCCCGGGCACCGGTGGCAGGAATCCCCCTTGCTCGGCACGACCGCCGGAAGTTCCGCCGCGGCCGAGCTAGCAATTCCCCATCCGTGAACTTGGGAAAAAAGTTGGAGGATCGATGGGGTCTTGCGCACGCGGACCCCTGGTCTTGTTGTAAATTTCCTCGGGAGGAGGGGAGAGGGAGGCCCCAGGGCCCCCAGCAAAGCGGGCAAAAAACTCGAACGGTGGTGGTTGGCGAGGTTGGGTTTCGTTTGCCCCGCATTCTGGAAGAGCTTTGATGAGAGAGCGAAGCTCCTTTTGCCGTTCGCCGTCGGCGCTTCATGCGAGCGGGGACGCTTCTTCCTGCCGACCCCCGACGGTTGTTTAAACGGCATATCGAAGTTTATGCGCTAAGCCTTCCGCCACGACGCGTGTCAAACGCGAGCTGTGGCGGAGGGAAAGGCTGTGTGCGGCAATCGGTAATCCGGAGCTATGAAGCAATCAGGCTGAGCTTTGCATTCTGGCGCTCCCTGTTGGCCAGAAACGGAGGAAAAGGTGGGGAAGCCTGCCACAGCTCGGACAGCTCTGATCTGAATCAGAAAGTGTGGGTCTCCCGAATCCTGGCTGAAAAGCTGGCGTGGCTGCCACCAAGCTCGAGCCTAGCGAGCCTAGCAAGACTCTGTGGGCTCGCTTGTCTGGGTAGTTGGCGAGCCAAAGGTCGATCTCTTGATTTCGGCTTCGCTCTCTGACCACCATCACCCCGGCCCGGGTCCTTCAACACTTTGTTCGGCCTCGTCCTTTTTGGCCGAGAACTCCAGGTCTTCTGTCGAGAGGGGCGAGGGCACTGGGGCTGAGACTGAGACAGCTTGATACCCGAATAGTCAAATAGATCGGTCCTAAGGAGCGCACGTGGGAACCCAGCTGGGTCTGCTCGAGGTAGTTATGCTAATACGAATAAAGGTGGTTAGTTTGTTCCCAGTTACATAACTCGATTATCACAGCAGGTCGAGCACAATTCCGGAAAATATTGGGTGGCAATACCCGAGGCCTACCGCTTGAATACGGGCACGCCAGGTGACGACCAAATTTAGAGATACAGACGGATCGTCGGTACGTAAGATAGCTATTGCCACGTTCTGGAGCCATGTCAAAAGTCAGACCGGATGGGTGCTGAGCCGCCGCCGCTGCAGCGGCGGCAATTTGAAGCGGCGGCCCGAGGTCTCGGGAACAAGGACTCGGTATCGCACATGCCTTGTCCATTCTTCATCTCTTGTGGTCTCAATGTGCTTTGAAAGCGGGCTCGAATATTCAATGATCAACACCGGTATCTACAGCAGCCAAAATTCGGGGCTGAGGGGAGGGGCAAAATGATATCTCACAATGGACCAGTAATCGGCAGCCCTCTCTTCAAACTGGGAACGTGGAAGAACCTGAGCGCCTGAAATTGGACTTGGGGTGAGTTGGGGGCGGGGGCGGAGGGCTAAGTAAACTACCTACCCAAGGAGTGCCTCGTGGACTTCGCCCTGCTGTTCATGACTCATGTAGATCTAACACTGGCAGGGAGATGCACTACAAGCCCATGGTTGGGTACCTAGTTAAACATACGCATTCCAGTTCAGGAATACAGTATTTTCCATCCACTAGTACCTGCCCTATCTTTTGCCGACTCGATCCCTTTGCTCCGTTTCATGTCCTCGAGTATTTTCTGGCTATTTGGATACCGAATACTCAACTCCAAACCCTTCATCTGCCGCAGTCTCGCCGCCATGGCTACTCCAATGGCACCCTCGTTATTGACCGTCACAACTTCTTCCCAGTACTCAATTTCCGGGTCATCATCGTCGCCCATACGCCCATTATCCCTCCATTGTTGAATTAGCCGTTCCTTGAACCGGCAACTCGCAAAATCAATGATAAAGGGCGTATGAGAGTGAGAGTCGACAACGATGTTGTAGGGCGCACAGTTAGTGTTGAGCACCCCGCGCCTGTCAATCATGTGCACAGCATCAACCGCAGCCTGCACTATGTCTGGCCAGAGCCCCATATCCGATGGAGCTTGGGGAGAGGTGGGCAGGTCGTACAGAGGGTACCCGGCCACTCGCTGGAGAATGACCCCTTTGACTTCAAAATACCGTGCCGTATCTGAAGAGTCCAACAGGTCGTGCGGTACATTGGGGATTGGGGATAAGAGGCGCACATGGGCATACATTCGCGGTATCAACTTGCCCTGGAGGTCTTTCAGCCGCTCGTAAGCCTGGGTTTCGCAGTTGAAGTTCCTCTCGCATTCCTCCCACACAGCAGCCTCGAACTCGGCATCGGGTTCCAAGTCGTATTGAAGGCTGATGGGTTTCTCGGTCTTCTCAAACTTCCCTCTTTGGTTTTGGCCGTCCTCGGCCTCGAAATCTTCCTCTTGTCGGCCAAGAAAGCGGTTCATCATCCCCCGCCGGACGAATGACTGGAAAGCCAGCTCGCGTTCCATTGTATGGGGCACATGTTCTCCCCGGTATCTGCGAAGGCGCTCGCCAAACCGACGGTCATAAAGCTTCAGTACGGCTTGAAGATGAAACTTGTGACCCGAATCGTCGGAGCCAAACAAGACGACGTTTAACACCGGAGACATAGTGACGCTGTAGATGCCAACGGTCATTACACGGTCTGGTTGTGAGCCGTTAGAAAATGGCCAGTCGCAGCAACTCTTTAGCACTTGGAGTTGGAAAGACTTTGCCATTTCCCATGGTAGAGGAGTCCCAGTGGGAGCAGGAGTCGTCCTGTCGCCTCTAAGCGGGAATTCCAGTAAGCAAGATGATTGAATCCCAATAGACGGTGGCTTTACGTACGTGCCGGTGTCCATTCCTCTGAAAATCTCGGCACCGTGGGCGAAAATGACTCCATGAGCAAGTCTCGACCCATCAATGATTCATTGCTGCACGAAGGCGGGGGCCAGAACTATTAAGACCTATCATGTGATTACCTTCACTGATGTAATAGCGCTGGCGCTGAGTCATTGGCCAGGATTCGAGATCAAGAGGAGGGCCGAGACATCAAGTATTATCGCCTTGCCTAGGTAGCTCATTTTCCATTTTTCTTTGGGTTCTGTGTATCGTTTTGGTTGATGTTTGTGTTGCCCCTGCAGGTAAAATAGGTGGCAAGCGTGACGCCATCTCGTACTATGAGCAGTTCAAATCGAGGTATAATCGTCATAGAAAAAGAGCAGCTTCAATAGCGCATTGGGTTATTTATCATTATGAATATCGTCTTCCTGGTAACAATATCATTCTTGGGTGAAACCCCATAGTCACACAATTCAGGTTGCAATTCAGGCTGCAATTCAAGGGCCAAGTCAATAGGTAGGCCCCTACCTACCTATGCGCCTTCCCAAACCCTTTTGCCACCCTCTCGTTGCCCGATCAGAGCTGCCATCCCAAGTTCTGACCTCGATTCCCACCCTCCACACTCGGACCTTCCATCCCTCCATCTTTCTACGGTCGCTCTAGAAACAAACTCCCCTCCAAACCGACCTTTGACACCCGACTTCGATCAGCAAAATTACACTGACACCAACCATGGCGCCCGAACGGCTGCGCTGCCAGCAGGGCGAGTGGAAGACTCGCGACCAATTTTCCAATCGGCAGCTCTCCAAGTATGACCGAAACGAAAAGGCGACGCCGTCCAAGACTGGAATCCGCTGCGTTGAGCACTCCGGCGGGCCCGTGAATGAACTGACCTGCAAGGGCCCTTGCGGTCTTAAAAGAGACAGGCGCTTCTTCAGCAAGCGCACTATCCAGCATGATACTTTTGTGAGTTTTGAATATAAGTTCCGACACCTGGTTGTGTTTCTTACGTCATGCAGTGGTGCGTCCATTGTACGGAGTGGAAGCTCCGAACGGAGACCGGAGAGTCGCTGCCGGCGCCGGGCGCCCAGCTGTCGATCGAGGAAGTCAGGCCTCCGTCGGGAAACAATCCGACGTTTGACAACTATGACGCGGGCCTGGACGGCGTTGAGGTAAAGATGTTCTAGCCCTGCCTAGTGCCTTTGAGTTTTTTTGCTAACTATTGATAGTCCACTGTTGGGACCGAGGATACTTGCTCGGTGGTTATGTCGGCGGCGGAGCCCAGCGAAAGCATCCTGGAGACGGAGCCGATCCAATACGGCAACTGGTCGGACGGCTTGATTCCCCAGCACCTTGCACAGGTGCAGACGAGACCGCCACACTGGCTAATTCCCGTTTCGGACGGACCGCTGACGGGATGCCTGCAGTTGGAGACCTCGACAGTCGACAACACTTCGGTTGCTGGAAGCGACATGACTTCGACTCAAGGCGGAGCCGGCAGAGCGCCTGTCGCATTTAATGCTTGGGGCCCGAACGGCGAATATGCTCGCATGACCAAGACACCAACACTCGCATCGGGAAGCACCCGCACAGTGACGACTGCACACAGCGAGTCTGTGAGGGAGAACAGGAGTGGCTGGGCCAAGGTGGTAAGTGGTCCCCTCCAAGCTTGCCGTGAGTAGACCTGGTACTGACCATGAAGTAGCCGACCCGCAAGCACGCACCACAGCTGCCTAGCTACCTAAAGTCGGTGACGGGCGGCGCAGACAGCGGCCCAAGCCGCCGTTCGGGTTAGGACTCTGACGGCCTCGATATGGGCTCTGATTCTGATATCTACGCCGACTAAGAACCTCTGGGACAGCGAATCATCGCCTCTTAGCACGGGCTCTCTATTCTCTTATTAGCTCCCGCAAAGAATTGCTGAAAAAATGAGAGTCATGGCCCGTTCGTGCGTGTCACACATGACCAAGAACCTCCCTCATTTGAGAGAGCACGCCAACTGGTTCCTAGGAGGAGGTGGTTTATATGGGAAGGCATCGTTGCGAGGCAGGAACAGTCAGATACATTGAAAACTACGGCGCTGGATTTCCCCCACGAATATCGGGCCTAATTAGTTAGGTAGCCACCGTGATATAAGCACTGATTCTCTATTCTACCGCCCCGACAGACGGGTGACCGATGTTCCGTATTTAGAAACCGAGATGCGTGGTAACAAGCTAGACAGCCAGTGATCCATCCCCTGTGTTTCGGGGCCGTGTTGCCCGAGACCTGTGAGCATGCTAGGGCCGAGCCGGGAGGAGGAAGGGGGAAAGGGGGGCTTGGTATGCATATGGCACAGCCTTGCTCACCGAACCCCCTCCCGGCAGTTGAAGAGGGGCAAAGACAACGCGAGCTAACTAATAGCTAACAGGAAACGAGGCAGCAAGCAGGTGCTGTGAGACGGACAAACTTTACGGGCGTAGCTAGGGGGGTAGGGGTGGGTGGGTGGATGGGTGGCCATGTGCGGAGCGGAGATGGGTTGGGGGAGGGAGAGGGGGCGGGTGGATCAAGAGGGAGGGGTGTTCCGGGGAGCCGCGGGTAGCGTCCCCGAGTGGAGGTTTGTGGGCACGGGCACGGGCACGTAGGATGCAAGTCGTGGATCGGGGTTGTGGGTTTGGGGTTGGATATACGGTACTATACGGTACTGTACTGTGCTATGCAGGTGGGCGGGCGGGTGGCGGATGCTTTGTTGTGGTTAGTTGCCTTGCGTTATCTTTGCCTTGCCTAGTCGCGATGTGATGCGTGTTGGGCTGTGGTGCGTGGTATTAGGTGGCTACCTAGGGATGGGGAGGTGGGGATGGGGCACATGTGGGCGAGTTGATCGATCGGGTGGAATGCAAGCAACGAGAGGACGGTGGCGGCGGCGTTGATAGGTCCGATGTGTGCTGGAGTATGGTGTGGTGTAGTGTGGTATGGTCCGGGATGATGGCCATTACACGGCCTCGGTAGAGGTGGGTGTTACCTTACCTGGCAGCAGAGGGTTCTTCATTATTATTGAATGGCGATGCCTAAGAGGCATGGAGGGTGCGTATGACCTTTCATCTTTCCCAACCTCCCCCGTGTCCTCCCTGACTGTAAGTGTGCGATGACGCGTTGATGCTGGGTGTGCCCGGCCAGCTTCAATAGACGGGCGTATATACTAACTGTTATTAATGGTTGCGTAACGCGGGGTAGAGCAGAAAGGAACTCGGTCTTCGTATAGGCTTGTGGATTTGTGGCTGTGTGAGGCGTGGTTGATCGGGCGTTCGGGCCTCCTTGATTGATGCCCTGGGCCGTTGCCCGGCTGCGGTGTGCATGTTGCTTTCCAAGCCTCGGCCCGGAAAAGGGGGTACGCCACTTCCGCCCCGCTTACCGGGCGATGCGGGACGACACGGCAGAGACGAAACACGGAAACTTTGGATGCCTCTTTGGTTCTTGTTCGAGGCAAATGGATTCGTGGCGGGATGGACTGTTTGCTGGACACTGCATCGTGCTGTGCATCGGGAAATTCTTGCGAATCCTGGACTACCCGGTTGCGGTTGTGGTTTCGATTGGGGTGGCCGCCTGTGTGTTACGCCGGGGAAGATGGAATGGAATACCGAATTAGGTTGAATTAGGCATCTGAGGCGAGGTGATGGATCATTCCATGTTTCGCCTCCTTTTCTTGATCTGTCCCTGATCGGGGGATCGGGATGTGGTGGGAAAGGACGAGGCGGACAGCGCTGATCTTTGGAGTGGTACGCCGAGAGGGTGCCGTTGCCCGGAACAGGGTCGGCTCTGTCGGATGGGGTGGTGAGGTTCATAGATATCGAGGAATGAGGAACGGGTATATCTGAGCTCGCGTCGGCAGCTTGCAGCTTTTCCTACTCGCTTCCCTCCCCACCTCCCTCCCCACCTCCACGACGTCGGTTATGTCCATACCCTTTCCTCTACACATGTGTCTCGCTTCTGCACCCTAAACTCAACGACACTGTCGACATCTTCCTTGTCCAAGTTAGAATATGGCCTCCCAGACACCCAACTGGATCCCTTGGCAGGGGCCTGCCCCGCCACCTCCCCCTGTCCCCCTTCCGGTGAACCGAGGAGCGGTGTCTTTCCCACCACCTCCTCATCCTGTCGTTCGTAATGCCCAAGACGATGATATGACAAATGAGAGTGGTTCGGAGGACGAGACGCACAGCGGTTCTGACCAGGAGACGGATGATGAGCCCGAGAAGGCCACACCCAACATGGGGCGACCAAGAGAATTCGTGGCACCCATGAATCTCCCACCCCAGGGCAACCACGGGGTACCTGGGCCTCCACGACCCCCGGGCCAAGGGCCACCACTTGATGTCCTCAGTGAGATCAGGAACATGATCAAAGAGGAGCGTATGGCGCACCCGGCCTCCTCGACTTTTGCTGTTATTGACATCCTTTGTAGTGAAGCAGGTGCCGAGTCCCACATCATCGCCTGAAGCGAACGTCACCAAGGGCCAGATGCAACAACCGGCTGGAATGGTAGTCCCCAACATGTCGGCACCCAGGCCGCAACCACCACCTCCCTTCGTCCCCGCTCCCGCCCCCGCTCCACGCGGGCCCCCAGCCCAGCAGGCACAAAACGCACCACAATTCCCTCGACACCCCCCTGGTGTCACAATGGGATAAACCAGCGCCGCTCGCCGGTACAACCACCACCCGGAGCTGTGCCAGACTCGCCAAAAGAACTCAGCGCCATCGACAAGAAGTGGGGAGTGCTGTTCGACAAGGATGACGTTCCCACCAAGCGATGGGAACAGGTCGTGAGAGGAATCGGCAACTACCTTGTAAGCATCCTCGAAGGCGAGAAGGAATATTGACTAACTATTCGCAGATGGATGAGTTTATGCCGCAGAATACGTTAGTGGTGACACCGGGGAAAATGGCGGCGTTCTACTCGCACCATAAGCTGGAGTTGGAGGCTTTTCCGTTCACAGGTTTGTCGGCCTTGTCTTTATTGCTGGAAGGGTAGTGTCTGACAATCAGAAAGAAATATTCCGCGGTCGCCAGGGCGCGCCGCCCGCCAGACTAGCAGAGCTGTACCAGCAGCTGGGGTGTGAATATTACCTCGTCCCGGCCGAACCCAAGGCCCGGCCTACTGTTCCAGGCTTGACCCTCGCGGGCTGGTCACGATGGATGACACTGGCCATGCGGGCCTACCCCAACGAGGAGTCGCAGCGACTAGGTATGGTCGTCGCGACCCTACCCATCAACGCCGCCGCTGTCTTCGACATCAAGCCGGAGCGGCTGCCCAAACAAATCTCCCGCCACCTGCTTCCAGAAAGACCCGATCGACAAGCTCGAGTCCTCCTAAGTAGCACTCTTAAGAACCACCTCGAAGCAACCACACAACACCCCCCACGCTCACCCGACAAAGCGCCCCCAGCATTCATCCACCTCAACCCCATGGACACCGACCGAGAGAGGCGCATGCCACGCCCACTCAGCCCTCGCACCCGCTACCGGCCCACAGAGCTCCCCTCGCCGCCCTCCTCCCAAGCCGGCGACGACGACGACTACCACCACCGCAGACGCACCACCGACCGCGACCGCGACCGGGATTGGGACAGAGAGCGCACTTACCGCGACGGCACCACCGGCCACGTCCGCACCTACGCGAGCGCAGGCGCCAAACGCCCCCGCCCCGCCGCGACCCCCTCGCCGCCCATCTGCCCCCGCATGCTTTCCCACCCGCCCCTGTCCTCCAACACGGGCCGCCCCGCTGCCGGCTCGTCGCAGGCACTCGGGTGTCAGGGCGGCGGTCCGGGTGGATGGTGGTTGGTGGTGGTGGGGAGG